AGTTATTTTTCGCAATGAAAATTATGTTCCTGCTAAGCTACATGGAGTCTCACACACTCTACACGAAACAATAAACTATCTCCTACGCCGCAAAATCAATTTAGACTTGAGAAGGCTTTTTATTTGAAATATATATTGTGTCACGTGGACCGAAGGCATCCGTTAATAAACAATGAGACAATCAAGTATACAGAGAAAAAAAAGCAAGTGCATCTCAGCAAAAGATACAGTAAGTTGTAAAATATGTAGCCAATTTGCTACATACCAAAAGGAACACCAAAAGTAACTATCAAGTTCGTTGATTGTTGGCAAACAATGATATCGGCACAAAGATTTATATATACCATTATTTTCATAACCAATCAATGTGAAATGACAACTTTAAGCCACTTTTCTAACGTCTTTAATTGAATATACAATTATGTTCATCATATTCTAAACAAATGATTTCCGCGAGAATACTGTTCTCATGTTCCTCAAATGTGCAGCCTCCTATGTGATGAGCCTTTTGCCTCGGACTCATGGGCTACCTTTAGAAATAACTTTTGTAATGTGTTTACATATAACTACTTTAGTGGAGTACTTAACCCAGAAGGTAGAGTTGAAGCTTTTACACATTGAACTATTTTAGTGGAGCACTTAACCCGCAAAAGTAGTATTGAATCAATCTATTCCATTGGTTACAGAGAAAAAAAATTTCATTTTACATCCTAACGATATTTTATTCTTTTAAACTTTTTTTCTTCTCTACATACAAGTCATATTTCACTTTGACACATCAGGAGATGAAGGTCAATGATAATTAAACGAATACACTAAATTCCACGACCTGCATGTAAATGCCTCTAAGGTGTCAATACAAAATCAATAGCATTTCGTATAACGATATGATTAGAAATTTCCTACTAATTTTTATTTTAAGACTCATATTAACTTGGTATTTTTCTTAAAAATACTGTAGGATCCTACGCATAAGAATCACTATCTTACATATGTATATTTGGTCAATTTAAAAAGGTGATAGCAGGTTAGTAAAAAATATATATTTATGAGCAACTAAAGTTTCTCAAGATTTTTAAAGAAAAAATACAATGAGCATTCAATTAAGAAGGGAAACACCTCACTTTAATTTAAACTTATTTTGTTAGACATGTTTTCGAAACGAAATAAAAACATGCCCGCGCAAATGCGCGGACTACCTTCCTAGTTAGGACTAATTGTCGTACGGACCTAATTATCACTAATCTAAGTGCTCTAGTTTGAGTTAGAATGTTGTGTTAGTTAGTAGCTTCACCGGCCTACTTTAATTTGTAGCTTCTTGGTCGGCGTTAGTCTGGTATATACGGTCAGTTAATCATGCGTAATTGACAAGTATATCTTTCAATATAGTAATAGTAATCAAGCTTTGCATCAGTGTCACTTCTTTTTTAAAAAAGGCAATAGATATGGTGGTCCTTTTAGGTATTGGTAATATCTTATTTTACCCCTAATATAACTAGTACATGTAGAGACATTACATCTGAAATTGTTTAAAAATTTCACAATCAACTTGTTCTCAATTAAACAAACATTTTTTTTACCAAATTGTTCCAAACACACGTGTTCAATCCATTTGTATTCGTAATAAAGCATAGGAAGTTGAAATAACAATCTTAATTTGCTTCTTGATCACTTGCGGTTTTAGTACAATAGTTCGAGATTAGTTGAACACGGGTGGTCAATTTTTTTTTAAAAAAAAACTATTAAGAGTTTTGATTTTTCTACTCCCTCCGTCCCAAAATAAGTGCAGTATTGCACCGTTTTATGTCCAATTTTTAACCGTTCGTCTTATTTAAAACCATTTTACGATCAGTATTTTTGTTATTATTAGATGATAAAACATGAATGGTACTTTATGCGTGACTAATTATTTTTTATTTTTTTATAAAATTTTCAAATAAGACAGAGGGTTAAACGTTGGGCACGGATACCCACAGCTGCACTTATTTTGGGACGGAGGTAATATTATAAGTTGAACACGTAGTCAGGGATCGTACAAGGTCCCATGTCCTCGTAGCTGCTGCTGTTATTCACAAACGCCTGCAAGGATTAAACGGCATGTGGACGCCCTACCAGCAATGGTTGGGGGCGCTGGCGCGACGCAGTGGTGAGCCAGTGGCGCCAGGAACACCTGCGTTGTTGCCACCCACCCAGGAGCCAGTTGTTCGCTGTCGAGGTCAGCACCACCCCGAAGAGCCCCTTGAAGATGATTAGCGGCGACAGCACCTGTTGCCTAGGATAGGTCGCCACCTAAGCTGGGGAAAGTGATGGCGATGGCGATGGCGGCGGCATGGAGGAACGGTGTGCCGACTGTAGCACCACCTTGTGGTAGGACGGCTGCGAGGAGATGGAGGGATCAGAACAAAAGGGGGACAGCGACGGGGAGAGGCTGACCCGAGATGATGAGGGGCTATTGTCGCACCACCTCTGCTCCATCATGGTGCGCGGGGAACAGCCTTCACAGTCGGCACCGACAGGGGGACGCAGCAACATTCAGAGAGGAAGGAGGAGGAGGAGACGTGGGTTCCACTATAATTTTTTTACTTTCAACCAAACCGTCACTGACATGTGGGTTCCATTGGTTTTTCTGACTTTAAATACCACGTCAATGGCTGTTAGACGCTACATCAACCGAAACCACGATTCAAACCGCTTTGGGAATTTATTTGCACTGGTTTTGAGAGTTGAGGATACATATCTAGTATTGCAGTAAATTGAGGGACTCAAGTGAACTTATTCTAACTGACAAAAATTCAATGATGGGCCATAATTTTCTCTGGCATGCATGCATCGGCCCACACTAATTAGATTGGGCCTATTTTTGGGGGTGCATGCTAAAATTAAGATGGAAAAAGTACACCGATGGTCCCTCAATTTGTCATCGGGATAAAAAACGTCCTCGAACCGTAAAACCAGATATGCGGGGTCCCTCAACTATACAAAACCGATCACTCGAGATCCCTCGGTGGTTTTCACCCAGGTTTTAGCCTACGTGGCAGCTGAGTCAGCATGAGACCCACGTGGGCCTCACATGTCAGGTGTCCACGTTAGCCTCCTCTCCCTCTTTCCCCTTTCCTCTCCCTTCCTCGTCTCTCTCTCTCTCTCTCACTTCTAACTTCTCTGCAATGGGCGGCCGCCGGCGAGGAGGATGGCGCGACGGGCGGCCGCGGCCGCGTCGGGATCCTCGTCAACGTCGCGGCGAACCCGTGGCTCGGCGAGGCCGCGCTCCGGCGGGTCGGCACGTCGGCGGCGATGGTGGACCGGCTGGTGGAGATACTCACCTGGAACGGTCGCGACAAACCCGCGGCTCGGCGAGGCCGCGCTCCGACGGGTCGGCACGTCGGCGGCGGTGGTGGACCGGCTGGTGGAGATGCTCACCTGGAACGGCGCCGCCGAGGCCGCCGCCATGGCGTCTGCCGCGCTCGTCGTGTCCAAGCTTGCCAGCAAGAAGCGGGACGCGCTCCGGCGCCATCGAGTCGGTGTCGTCGCTGCTCTTCGTCGCCGACGAGGAGTGCAACCTCCTAGGCCTCCTCTTGTGATTTTTTGAGCTGTGTTAACGTCGGGCTCAGCGATTGACCTCTCCCTATTAGCGACCCACACGACAGTAAAAACTGGGATCTTGTTGAACCATATGCCAATGCATCTCACCTGGACCATCAATACTGAAGCTTCTATGGCGTTTACTTTGGTTAATTCAATATTTCAATCAGAGTTCCTCCACCAATCTTGTGTTTTTGCCTGCTTACTTTGGTTAAGTAGTAGATGTGTATATATCCATGTGCTGCTGCCTAATTGTTTCAAAAATCAGGATGTAATTTCCAGAATATATAATCGGCAAGAACTGCCATAGAGTTCAGGAAGTCCTGATCGGAAGAGCGGTGAGCGGTGGGCAGCGGTGAGCGGCGTCCGGCGTGCGGTGGCCGGCGGTCGGCGCCGACCTGCGGTTGGCGTCGTAAGCTCTTTTCCCGTTTTTCTTCGTGTAACAGTGCCATGCAGGTTGGACCTGGGCACCTGGCTAGCTTGCACGGTGGTCGGCGGACAGTTGCCGGCGTCGACCGGCGGCTTGGGGGCCAGCGACGTGCATCGGCTCTCAGGCTCGGCGGCCTGCGGCTAGCGACGAACGGCGGAGGGTGGCCGGCGACGAGCGGCGGCGCGGCAACCGGAGTGCGGCGAGCGGCGGTCGGCGGCGGAAGCGTCCTTCTTGTTTTTTTGTTCGGTGGCGGTGGCCGCGTGGGGCGTCGCCTGCCGCCACCGTAGCGCTTCCGCTCCGCTCCGCTCGCACGCCGCCTCCGCCGGCCGCATCCTCCCGTCCGCGCTCTCCGCCGCGGAGAGATCGAGTGCCGCCGCATCCTCCCGTCCGCCCCTCTGCCAACTCCCTCCTCGCCGCATCCTCTTCGATGGAGAGCCAGACGAGGCCAACGGGCGCGAGGCGGGAGAGGAGATCCGGCCGACGACGCGGTGACGGCCGCGCCCTGCTGCTCCCCCGCCGGCCGCCGCTCGTGCAGCTGCTGCCCCTCCGCCTGCGCCCACCCGCACGCCGCTCCGCCGTCCGCCGCCCATGTAGAAGAGAGAGGGAGAGGTGAAGAGGAGAGGAGAAGAAGAGGCTGACACGTGGGGCCCACATGGGTCCCACACTGACTCAGCCACCGACGACCGTGGTCAAAGCGCCACGTAGGATAAAACCGGGACGAAAACCGCTGAGGGATCTCGAGTGACCGGTTTTGTATAGTTAAGGGACCTCGTATATCTGGTTTTACGGTTTGAGGACGTTTTTGTATCTCGCTGACAAGTTGAGGGACCTTTGGTGTACTTTTTTACTTTTTCCAATTAAGATATGTGCACATTGTGCAGGCAGTGGCCTACAAGGAAGGATTAAGGAGAACCATTCCAATGCCAAATCCAAATATAGTCCACATCCAAATTGCACCCATATAAAATCATCTCCAAACCAATCATTTCACCATTCAATAACACCCCCCCCCCAAAAAATAATACTTTATTCCTCTCTCTTAATTTTATTTTTTTACTTTGTTTGAGAGAGAGAGGATCAATAATTTCTTGTTGAAAAATGGAGATTATTAGTCCTAGTAGTAGCAGCAATAACAATTCACCTGTTCTTGCAACATTTCTTGTGGTTCTTGTAGTGCTCCTAGCATCATCACGGCCAGCCTCGTCGCAGAACCAGCAATCCTTCACCATCAACCCCGGCGGCGCCGCGGCGGCGAGGCCCGGCGGCGGTAAAGGCGGCGGCGGCGGCGGCGGGCCGGGCAGCTTCAGCGACTTCCTGACCCAGAACGTGCAGCACTACGTGCTGAGCGAGCAGAAGTACGCCGGGAAGGTGAAGGCGCTGGACGCGGAGCTGTCGGCAGCGGAGGCCGGCGCGGCGAGGTACGTGGTGAGCGGCGACGGGAAGGGGAAGTTCAGGACCATCACCGAGGCCATCAAGGCCGTGCCGGAGTACAACAAGAAGAGGGTCATCCTCGACATCAGGCCCGGCACCTACAAGTAATTAACTAAATCCTTTTCGATCAAATTATCCCATCCGTCCTAAAATATATAACGGTAGTAGCTTTTTACATAAAGTTTTTGACCATTCATTTTAATATAGCTTATTTTATTCTGGCTTGTTTTATCATCAAAATAGCTATAATCTTAACATGTACTTTTATATATTCATAATAATTATTTTAATAAGACGAATGAACAAATGTTATATGAAAAAGCAACGGCGTCATACATTTTAAGATGAAAGCAATATAATCTGAGCATGAAATCATGGCGGATTATATATATATATATATATATATATATATATATATATATAGTAAATTTGTTTGGTGCTCCATGGTGCCCGGGCACCATTGTTGAAATTGAGTATATAATCAATTCAAATGAGTATGAAACTTTTTCAATTATTTAGGTATTAACATTAACTACTTTACTAACTAGTTCAAAGCAAGTTTGAACTGAATTTGAACTTGTTTTTGTTAGATTTTGATTCTAGGTATATAGCATCCATACATATAATTAGTTAGGTATGTAATCATGAATTGTGAAATAAAGTTAAATTTGAGTTGTTTTGTTGATAGATATATGTATGAATCGAATTCTTATAACTAGGTATATACTCACAATTTAAAAAATTTGAAAAATTTGAGTAATTTTGTGCATTTGAAACCATGGTGCCCGGGCACCATGGTGCCCCATATGAGTGTCCTATATATATATATATATATGACCGAATTAGGGAGAAGCTGTTGATCCCGTTCACGAAGCCGTTCATCACGTTCGTGGGGAACCCGAGGAGCCCGCCGACGATCATGTGGGACGACAGGGCGGCGACGCACGGCAAGGACGGCCAGCCCATGGGCACCATGCTCTCCGCCACCGTCGCCGTCGAGGCCGACTACTTCATGGCCTCCAGCATCATCTTCAAGGTTAATTCAGCTAACACATACACACATTCCCCTCTCTCTCTCTCTCGACCAATCGTCCATGGAGCTAGACTCACGCAAGGACGTCGTCATCGTCGTCGTCCTCGTCGCCGGTGATGCATGATGATGAGTAGAACAACGCGCCGATGGCGGCGCCGGGAGCGCATGGAGGGCAGGCGGTGGCGCTGCGGGTGTTCGGGAGCAAGGTGGCGATGTACAACTGCACCATCGACGGCGGGCAGGACACGCTGTACGACCACAAGGGCCTCCATTACTTCAAGAACTGCCTCATCCGTGGCAGCGTCGACTTCATCTTCGGCTTCGGCAGGTCCCTCTACGCGGTACAATCGATATCTCGCGGGCATAAATATTTTATGTTTATGACAAGATTTTGACCAAACATTATTAAAGCCGATCTAGATCGATCTGCAATTTTATCTCAGTATTAAGTTTATAAAATCTAATAGTTTTTATGATATTATGATGGTGGTTATTTCCGAAGCAAATCTATGTATGTCATTTGCTTTCTTTGTAAACTAAGGATTCACAAAATTATTAATAGTAAAAATCTTAGAAGTTAATGACCAAATCTTATCCAAAATCCAAAAGTACGGCAAATATTTATGACCGGAGGAAGTAACAATTCTCTAAATATTAAACTAATAATTCTTATATAGTTTTTTTTAAAAAAAATCTTGTATTCTATAAAGCCCCTAAATCATTTTGCCTTGTCCTTACTAGGTATTCGTGAAGTAAACATAATTCTAACATTAACAAAAAAAAAAGGGTGTACTTCCTCTATTTCATAGTATAAAACGTTTTAGCTTTTAAATAAATTCATGCACGCATCTATGTACGTGCTTTATATATATATATATGTTCAAATTCATGTGGATGCCAGTAAATCTATACGAGAGATGGAGATACCAAAATATCTTATAATGTGAAACAGAGAGAGTAAAAATCTCTATATTATATTGTGTATATATATATACACACACACGTAGGATTGCACGATTGAGTCGGTGACGAAGGAGGTGGCGGTGGTGACGGCGCAGCAGAGGAGCAAGAACATTGCCGAGGCCATCGACACCGGGTTCTCCTTCCTGCGCTGCAAGATCAGCGGCATTGGGCAGATCTACCTGGGGCGGGCATGGGGTGACTCGTCCCGGGTGGTTTACTCCTACACCACCATGGGCAAGGAGGTTGTGCCGATCGGTTGGGACGGCTGGGAAGTCCAGAAACCCGAGCAGTAAGTGACAATTGATCTCACTCTGATCGATCTCTTACCCTATCAACTCTTTTTAGTTAAAAAAGAAGAGTTAATTAGTAGGCAAGTGCTCTGCCGATCAAGGTCCATGTATGCTAGTTGTATGTATCCACGCGTGAAGTTATCAGGCACTCTTAGTTTATCAGCCATAGCCAAAATTTGATTTCAAAACTCGATTTTATTGGAGTTGTTTAATCATAAAAAAATTTCCAAAAAAATTGATTTAAACGTAATCAATTATCTAAAATCAAAATCAATTGTTTTACATAACGGTTTTACCCAAATATATTTATTTAATTTTTTTCATGGTTTATCAATCGTACCTCAAAAGATGATTGGACTATCGGTGATGAATACTACCTCCGTTCTAAAATGTAGTTATTTCTAGCATAGTACCTTGTCCCGAAATGAAGTTATTTCTCCACCTACCTGCTTATCTCAACCAATCACAACCATTCCCTTTTACCTACTTTCTATTTTCAACCGATTACACACTTCAATCATTCTCATATACTTTCTTAATTAATACCAGTGTCAACCTTAAAAATATTTACATTTTAGGATGAGGGGAGTATGACACTAATGCCCGTCTAATTTGATAATAATTTTTATTACTTGCTGCAGTAGCGGGATATACTACGGAGAGTACAAGTGCAGTGGGCCCGGGGCGCTGCCTAGCAAGAGGATCGGGTGGTCGCTGGTGCTGAGCGACATCCAGGCCAAGCCCTTCACCGGATCACACTTCGTCTACGGCGACTCCTGGATCCTGCCGCCTCCCAAGAGCATGTAATTCTGCCTGGGCTGGGCTAGCTAACCACAACATGTGTTGTGTAGGGCCGTGATTTTTTCCAGCCCATTGGGCCGACACCCTCTTGACTGGTTGCAGTTAAGCAGAGGTTGGTTTTATTATTTGTTTGGAACTATGATTTGAAGATCATATCCAAGCATGCATGCACATACTTTGCATTATTGGGGGGAGCATGATGTTCTGAGGAGCGGCTGATGAGAATCTGGAATGAGTAGTTCTACAAGCTTATGGCTTCTTTTGTATTCGGATTCTGATAATCTGAGTGAGAATCTGTGTTGTTTGAGAAGCTGAATATTTTGAATGAAGAGCTCTCTTAAGGAGTGCCTTAGTTCGGTTGTGCTTAACTAATCTCTTGGTTAGGCGTATTAACTTCTTAACTTTTTATACTGTCTTCACACTTTGACCAGTGATATCTTCCATAATATATATGATTAATAGCTATAAAATTAACATCATATAAAAATGTTTTAATATGCAAGTATAATGATACTATATGGATACCATTAAGCACATATATATTGTTAGGATCATTTTGGTTTGAAGCCCTAACAAAAATTTTGGTAGTATCAAATCTTCAACAAGTTTTGACACAACTAAATTTTTGGTTGGATAGATTGACATTAACTCTGTAGATTTGGTGAAAATTGGTTACAATCCAAATGGCTACCAATTACTATTTGAAACTAACAAATTAATAATTGCTAGGGTATGAATTAGCATCACACAAAAATAGCCCTTTTACTCCTAGTGCTAAGGCCCAGTTTGACACAGTTAGAATGACTGGATTATTGTTGTGAATTATCCAAGTAATTGTCGATATAAAATTAAATATTTTGATTAAGAACTTAACATAGAAAAAGATACCAATCCAATCAATATATTATAAGAAAGTTTTCGAGAGAATATACTTTTAGATACGTGGGAAAAAATATCCGCGATAATAATCTAACGAAGTAGATAAAAGAAACATGAAATTTATCGAGAGGTTTCATAATTTTTTTAATTACACAGTACAACGTAGACATTCACAATGCACGCACACTCACCCCTGTAAATGCACGCACACAAACCCTACCCATATGAGTATCTTCGAAAACTGGGCCGGCAAATCTTTGAGATTGACGAAGTCACCACAGACGTCTTGTTGTCGACGGGTACGTCGCCTACCATTGAAAGCACAATGCCATTAAATAATCTTAGAAAATTCGCTCCCACGGGAAGTCGCTCCCATGGAGAGGTTTCATAAATTGGCACTGTAGGGATGCATGTGTGATGATCTTCAGGTACCTCCTCGAGCATAAAAAAGCTTTGGTACATACGAGTACATCACTGAACTAAATATTGTACTACTCCAGCTTGTCAGAATGGCATGTGAGGTATAAACTCCAAACCTGTTCATGACCTTCCTCCCCCTATTCCAAATTAACAGACCAAAACCGTAGCCATTAAAGTGGATTTCTGGTATAACAACTCTCCCTACTGATACTGATGACTACTACTACTGACTACTGAGTACTACTACAATAGTACTACTATAATATGTACACTTTGGCAAGTACTTCTACTGGACAGTCTGTAGAACTGGTTACCATTGTGTGTTGTAGCAGTAGCACATATAGGTAGATCTATATATAGTCGCTCCGGCCTATAAATATAAGGGATTATTATTTTTATATAAAACTAATGAATTAATAAAAGGATGTTATTGTATGAAAGATGATAATTGACAGAATAAACTAGAAGTGTGATCGAGTACACTGTCACTAGTATAAAAGTTAATAGGTGAGAAAATAAACTACTAATACAAAAGTTAATATGTGGGGATTTATATTATCTCGGAATAAATCATTTACGTATTGGAACAAACTAAAAGGCTAAAATCAATATAATTTTATTAAAGTGTTTTCTAACACTAATATTTTAAAAATTATTCATATTCCAAGAATTTAAAGTTAGACATTAATATTGTCCAATATGATATGTACTTTTCACCATACGAATATATCTTCCATGGATGATAGATATGAGATGTATTTCAAGAAGTATTATGAAGTATTATACATCCGGAGCGAGTATTATGGGACGGTTACTCTAAGATCCACCATGGATGCCATGGATGAGCAGTAGATCGATCGACAAGCCAGAGAGATATCATGGCAACAAGATGGGAAAGTCAGGAACACAAGCAATTCAATTCTCACCTAAATTAGTTCAGAGAAGCAGAGAGATCCATCATCCACAGAGACAGTTAGGCTGTGTTTAGATCCAAACTTTGGATCCGAACTTTTAACTTTTTTCATCGCATCAATCTATCATACACATAATTTTTCAGTCACATCGTACCAATTTCAACCCAAACTTCCACGGTCAACCGTGGAAGGAACTAAACACAACCTTAGAAAGAGATGTATGGAAGCAAGAAGATTAATTGGGCTGACAATTACTATTCCAACTTATTTTCACTTGCATCTGCTTTCATCTCCAGTAAATGAAAGCAGACAGGACGTGTACTGCCCAGTGGTAGCTGACAGCATTAATTCCCCTCCTTTAATTATATGATCAATTGAAGCAATTAATTAAGCCACAGGGAAGAAGAAAAAAACATAATTAAATAAATAATATTTCCATTGCTCATATTATAATCTCATCAGATGATGATAGCAATAATAATACATGTCGTCGATCTCTCCATATATATATATCATTTTCTCTCTGTTTAACAGCAGCAAGAAAAGAAGTAGTAACAACTTAATAATAATTAATTTAAAGCAGTGCATGCATGCAGATGCAGATTATTCAGAACCAAATAAAACGATTAATTAATAATAACTCATCATCTCAGCTACTAGCTCATCTGAATCTCCATATGATAGTGAGATCTCGTGCTGCTGCTTCTGCTGCTGATGATGATGATGAGATGTATGATGATCTGTGTATATCGATCGATCGATCTTCTTCAGTTCTTGGCTGCCACTCCCTCGGCCTGCACCTGCACCTCCTTGCTGTTCATCTCCTTCATCTTCCCCTCGATCTCGTCAATGGCGGCGGCGGCGGCGTCGCCGGCGACCTCCTCCTCCTTCTTCTTCTCCTCATCGACCTTGGTGGTGTCGCCGGCGGCGGGGGAGGGGTTCTTGGGCGGCGGCGGGGGGGCCTCGAAGGCGTCGACGGGGAAGCTGCGGGAGAGGCCGCCGATGGCCTTGCAGGTGAGCTTGCCGGTGGGGGGGTCGTCGACGGCGATCTCGTGGAGGGTGACCCAGATGAGGAGCTCCTTGGCCTTGACGCCGGTGATCTTGCGGAGGCGGCCCTTCTCGGCGACGGCGGAGACCTCGGCGGCGTAGCTGACGTGGCGGCCGGCCTTGGCGAAGAAGTGGTCCACCTTCCGCCGCTGCTTCAGCCACACGAACCCGGTCTCCTCCACGTAGCCGCACTCGATGATGTCGCGGAGAGGGAGGAGGCCGCTGGGGAGCCCCGTCTCCTCCAGCAGCAGCCGCGTCTTCTCCTGCCCGGCCTCGTCGCCGACGTACACCTCCGCCTTCGCCCGCACGTCGTCCGGGATCGTCAGCGTCATCGTCGCCGGCGCCGGAGAAGAAGGAGGAGGAGAAGTAGTAGGGAGCTTTGAAGCTTGTGGTTGTGTGAACTGTGTGAGGTTGGATGGTTTGAGGAGAGGGGTGAGGGGGAGTGAGGTTATATAGGGGTTGTGGCTCATCAAGAAAACCACTCACTCACTCACTCACTCTAGCTAGTTGTTTCTTAGCTCACTATATTGAATGTGAGATGAGTTTTTTTTGTTTTTTTAGGAATATATATAAAGGAGAAATGAAATGTTTCAATGTGGTTGGAAGTTGGCATATACGTACTTGGAGTAGGAGTAGTAGTATACAACTTAATAATTAGACTATACTTTTCAATCAAAGTATAGAATCTTGATCGCTTGACTATTTTACGTAAACTCAAATTTGGAAAGAGTACATACGGCATGCTTGATTACAATGAATTCTTTTAAGGGTTTTATCTGCCTGTTTTTTTAGTAATATTTTTTTATTTATCAGCATGATATATAGTAACATCAATTAAACACGTGTTATTAGACTTGCAAGCTTTCATGTGAGCTTAGTTATGAAATACGGAAAATAAAAAACCCACGGGCGATAGATCGGATATGTGTAAAAATATATCTAATTTAGATTGCACAATTAAAATATTTATAGTCAAGACTCTAGACAACATATAAACTTAAAAGAATACTTTCGCTGTGTAGATGTGATTAGCCAGATGCTATCTCATGCTTCGACAGAGTGCTAGAGGTGACCAAACATGTGCGAAAATAGACCTAACACATTCGATTAGGTCATAGAAAGAACATATGGTATGCTGTTCTCCAATAGTCAAACCTCAAAATGTGAAATCATTTGAGATGTAAAATAAAAAGATTTGATGTGTGAAAATAGAATTAGTAAATCATTTGTCATAAAAACAATATCTTATAGATATATTTTGCAATTATATATTAGAAAATATAGTAATAAAACATATGCACTATATGTTCTAAACATATGTAAACGAAACTGTAATGCCGTTATTAATAGGAGAGTAGAACTTGATTTATGGTTTCGGAGTAGGGACCAATGGTATGTTAGGTGTTAGTGTTACTGGCAATTAACTTATTTTAGGATGGAAGGTGTAAGTAATTAAGATCCACCGTGCAGACGTGTGCAGTCCAATCTAATTAACGCGCATGTGTTAAGCAACGAAACTCCAAACCAATGTCTTTGATTAATTTCTGATCAGTTGCTGGTTGGGAGAGTGTAACGAGGGCCGACACACAGTTGTCTACTCCCTCCGTCCCATTTTATAAATTATAGATGTGTTTTTCCGTGTTTAATGTTTGGCCGTTTATTTTATTTGAAATTTTTTCATGATTAGTTTTTTATTAGATGATAAAACATGGATAATACTTTATGCGTAACTTAATTTTTAAAAAAAAAATCATAAATTTCAAAATAAAACAGACGGTCAAATGTTAGATACGGAAATCCACAAACTACACCTAAAATAGAAAGGAGGGTTATGCGTGACTTAATTTTTAAAAAAAAATCATAAATTTCAAAATAAAACAGACGGTCAAATGTTAGATACGGAAATCCACAAACTACACCTAAAATAGAAAGGAGGGAGTACTCCTCCTGTCTAAAATAATTGGATTAGAAGTTTCCTAGTATATGTCCAGATTCGTTGTACTAAAAAATATTATATCCAATAGTAGTTTTTTTTTTAAGGACTACTATGCTAGATCATGTCACTTCCACTGCATATCTTGCATCCCTCCAGAAACCTGCGTTGGCGCAGATCGATCAAACGGACAGGACAAAGAGATGATGATGCAAGGGACGGTTGGATGAAGACTTTGGCATGCTCATCAGTCTCACAAAATGGCTCATAATTAAGTGAGTGCTACTGCTGCTTCCCCTGGTGCTTCAGTCTCAGCAGCCGCTGTTCCAACCGTCTCCTCTCAAACCAACCAAGGGCATTGATGGATTGGGTTGGGTTGAATCATTTCTCCTCCTCTTCTTTGCTCCAAAGGCTGTGTTTAGTTTCTTCCAAAGTTGGAAGTTTGGATTTTGGTACGATGTAACTTAAAAGTTGTGTGTGTATGACAGGTTGATGTGATGGAAAAAGTTAAAAGTTTGGATCTAAACACAGCCAAAGGAAACATGTCGGTCTGAAAATGCCAAAAATATTTCTAGGTTTGCGTTTCATATAAAATTTCTGCATTTCAAACGAGTCAAAGCGTGTCCTAAGCACTTTGAACACCTTATTAAGTGATTTATTGGGCGTTTGGTGCAGCCTCTTTTTACGGTGGTTACAATCATATATAGCTACCTGGATAGCTAGTTTATTCCAGATTATAGAAATGATTTATATTACTGACTTCTGTTGTATGGCACACAGCTAAACTGGGTATCTAGTTGCCGTTAAAAATAGGGTATTATATATAGATATGTTATATATGCCGTGTTTAGTTCCAAAATAATTCTTCGAACTTCCAACTTTTCTATCACATCGAAACTTTCCTACGCACACAAACTTTCAACTTTTCCGTCACATCGTTCTAATTTCAACCAAATTTCTAATTTTGGTGTGAACTAAACACAGCCATAGTAAAAGAAAAAAAATCTTGAAGGTGCCTCTAGGACCATGGCATAACCCTTATCCTAATGCAAGGTGCAGCAGAGAAGATATCAGAGGAATAAATCCAATGCATCCATGCATCTGTGAATTCTGATGCTGCAGCAAGAAGCAGGCATAACAAATTCACAAATGCAAGAAGAGAGAGATAGCAAACGATACCTGGTAGTGTAAATGCCTTCTTTACTGTGGCAGTGAAGCAGGGATTGATGAACATCTTGCTGCGTTTCAACCAGTAATCATGCATATACGTTGACTACCCCAACCGTCCATGGACCATGTTGGTAGTACTTTGCTTATGCTGTTCCTGCATCTGTGGCCACCGATGACCGGCAGGAATTTACAAAATCATACAGTTATTACATGGTTATCAACCTTCTAAATCTTTGAAACCATGGTATAACTCGTGATAGCACGGTTTTCATGATAACCACGTGCTTACCGCGGTAACCGTCAAACCGTGAGGCGGCGGAAACCCCCACCCCAAATGGTTTCGTGCCGGCAGCTGAAGGCAATGGTTAAAAATTTATGATCGCCCTTTCTATCGGGGGAATTGATAAACTGAAATTTTGAAATATTTCGATCTGAAATAATTTGAAATGTGTACATATTTTTGTCAAATCTATATAATTATAGTTAAATTCAATAAAAAAATTGAAAAAAAAATCAAGGGGGGATGGGTGGAATTTTCTAAACCTAGCTACATGAACCTTCCTCGTCATCCTCTGTCGTCCGTGCACTCAATAGACGATCGAGATGGCCCGAAGGTGCATAACATCGTGGAAGACCCTTTCATGGGAGATTTGCACAAATTTTCATGGTGCATCTGTAGTACACTAGGATTCACATATTTCTACGTACTAATATATTATTACAAACATATATTTTTTAATCAGAGTACTCGGTAACTTGTATTCTATTATAGATTCGTTAGGAGCGAACGGTGTATGGTATTAAGACCCATGGTTTAGCTCACATGGATACACAGGAGCATGTAGTGATGTAGATGCAGGTGAAGGTGCTCGCATATCCGTGCATGGCGTTTGTTGGGACAGAAACGCGGTTTCTGCGTGCGAAAATTAGGGCATAAATGCAGAGCCATGCTCAATAATAAAATCGCCAACGTGGCGCTGCCATCACCTGCTGTTTCATGGCGCAGCAAAACCTAACCAAATATTGCTGCAGTGCAGTTCAGCCACATTCATGGCTTGCCTTGCTGTTCTTCAACTGCCATCTCTCACAACTTGATGACATATTAACTGCATCAGATGATGATGGTTAACCGTGCAAAGGTCCAGGCAAACCTGCACTAATTAATTTGATTTTGATTGCCTTCATCTCAACGGTGCCTAGCTTCTGGTCTCTTGCTAATTAACTCATTGCTTTGAAGGAGAGTGACCATGGCTGTTCTAGTTTTTTTCTTTTTTAAGAAAAAGGAAAGCAACTGATTTCAGAAACTTTGATTACTGTCGTCTGAATTTTCACATGTTCTTTCAGGGGCTTCTTGTGACCCTAATTTCGTGCTTTTGTTTCTGTCACCATCTGAATTTGTACATAATCTGAGGTAGTATGTTACAAATTTCAGTCCTTAACAAAGCTAAAAAAAATTGCAAACACTGAAAACAGCTGGTTTTTCTCGTGAAAACCAGCGAAAAACCCGTACAGCCCTGAGACGATCAGGGTGGTTCGGGTTTCTCAAAAACCATAACCCCACTTGAGCCTTCATAATCCCGATTCATCTCTCAGCTTTAACGAAGAATGAATGTCAATTGGAATTTGGATGCGAAGATCGCTGGAGGGAAGAGGGATGATGCATCAGGACAGCATTGTCTGAACTTCTCAACTGCAGGCAGCCCTCAGCTCATGGGCATCCATCATGGAGTTACTACCCATGTTCATAAGGGTGGTTATGTGAGAGATCTCCTTCGGCACCGACGCCGTCAGGACCTGCAAGGCCAACCCCAGGATGATGATCTTTCAATTTCAATACCTGACAGCAGCATTTACCAATCCAAGGTCCAAGCTGTACTATAGATGATTGGAGGGAAGAGAGTACCTCGTGACCAGACTCGGTGATGAGGACCTCGTCCTCGATCCTAATTCCGATGCCCCGGTACCTATCTGGGGCGTTCTCTTTCAGTATTGGCACCGGTGGGATGTAAACCCCGGGCTCGATCGTTATTATCTGCGCGCATACAGGATCTCATGTCAGCATTTGAGATTGAGCTGATGTGAAAAGTTGATGGCTTGGTTTATTTAAGCCATGAAATATATTTGGTAAAATACAGTTCTTATGAAAATTGTTGTTGGAGGTTAGTTGGGTGTTTTATCCAGATGCATGCATACAACGATCATTAAGAAGCTTAAAAATAATTAAATAACTAGACAGAAATGAATGAATCATCTACTCACAACTCCTGGCTCCAAGGGTTTGTCCTTGCTAAGCTTGACGGAATCATGAATATCCATTCCTAACGAGTGACCTGGGAGACAGCAAGACAGAGTTAAGTTGGTCCCCAGGGCCCAATCCCTTGCATTCAAGGAGAAATCTTAATGGACAGAGTGTATGAACCTATTGCTGTTGGATTCAAATAATTGTATTGGATGGATTTCCCCTTCTCTAAAATTCCAAGTTCTTGGAAACCCTTTATCAACATCTTGACCTGCAAATGGAAGATTTGAGATTTGGATCTTTTGAGTTTTTGTGAAATAAAAATTTGTATCTACAATGAGTAATGTTGATAATACCGAATGATTATGTATCTCGTTAATGCTTGCGCCTGGTTTACAAAGCTTTATGCATTCCTTATTTGTCTCCAGTATCAGGCTGTATAGTTCTTCCTGTGGTCAAGGTGAGGACTCGGAGTTAGAAGAAGTAACAAAAATAAAACTTCTTAACTTGTATACAGATCTAGCATTTACCTGAGCAGGTGAAAACCTGCCACAGGGTGGCCATGTTCGAGTCAGGTCGCTAAGGTAGCCATGATACTCACAGCCAACATCCATGAGCAGTAGTTCACCTGCTTTGACCTGTCAAATAGCTAAAAATAACTTCACAAGAAAGATAGCTCTGACATGTGCGACAAGAGAAAAGTCTGTTTACCCTTCCGTCATTTCTTGAGTAGTGTATTACACTGCCATTTGCTCCACCACCAACTACAGGATGGAACCTAAGGTACGGCAATAAAAAGGAAAGGTAAATCATCTGAGCATGGACCTCATATTTCCCATGCATATTAACTCAATATCTATTAATTAACAAAGTGAATGGACATAGAATCATGCTACTAGTACGGCAGTATATGTGATACCATACAGTATTATACAGGGAAGTACAAAATGCTTACGCCATTCTTTGGGCACCCCTCATTTTGCACTCATACTCGATCTTAGCTGCCAGTTGGCTTTCCTCCCTATGGGTCCTAGATAGCAACATCGTTTGTAAAAGAGACTGTCCAGGTAGTGAATATGATGTCAGCACATAGAACAATTACAATGGGTCAGTGAGAGAGTAAGTCGCTTGCAAATTTAGTTGTTTCGTCTTATTCTGCAGCTTCTGTATTGCATACTGTCAGCTTGAACTAGAAACTCTAAATGCAATATATCAACACACCTGTTTTTAAGGTGGTCTAGTTGGAATACCAAATAATGGTGTGGGCATATTATGTGAGGAATAAATGGGGCCATGCCTATCCAGAGGGGCAGGGGAATAAGTGCAAGATGGTGTCATGCACAATCATGGACAAATTGTATGTCCTTACATGTTAGTACTCTACGCATATCAAATCATCAGTTAATTATCTCATTGGCTAAGAGTACAGCATGTGCCTATATAGTTCTGTACCAGCAATCTTGTAGCGACATCAAGACCCAACTTCCACAACCAGCAGCGCTATTCTCTTAGATGAGATATCAAACTCACTTTATTGTTTTTTTTCTATCCAAGGCTGGACTGATGAAGTAAGGCCATCACCTCCTAACAATGCGAGAAGAACAAAATAGAAGTTTAACCAAATACCTGAGAAACAATAGATGCTGATTCTCGCATCAACCCAATTTCTGATTTTGACTTGATCCACCGCAGTTCATCAGTGTAGTATGCAATATCTTTTACTTTATTATTGAGTGATGCCCTACGAAAGGAATCCAAGTTCTTATAAGATGGCGAAAGTGTCTTTACATTGTGATATACCACTTTTGACCGCTCAATCATTTCAGGAAGGATCTGCATTTTAATGGTAGTTATGTCAATGGCGCGTCATAAAGCAGTACCACTAGAGGAAGGTCATTAGGAGGTAATAGCTAGTGCTCAAAAGTAATGGGGGATTTTGGGGTGGGGGGTAAATAAGGTTACCTTTTGCATCTCACTAAGTGGAAATGCTTTGTCCGCTTTGAAGAAATTCTCAGCTGCCTCAACTCCAGCTGTCTGACCTTGCCAGACCACATCCTAGCACAATATTACAATTTCTAAGAATTATGCAGCTTAAGTAGAAATGGTACTAAGGAAATAAGACCTCATCATTACCTCCTTACTTGTATCTGGCATGAACATACACAGACCAGTTTCCTCACTTAAAACTGCCACACCACCAGGTTGTGCACAACCTGTAATATACAGGTAATCACCATTCTGTCTGAATGAGTATGGCACTACATCAGTCATCATCTGCTGCTCTGCGGACGCAATAATGGCCAAGCTCTTCTCTGGCAGAACCTCCAAAAGCTTTTTTCTTCTGAAGATGTACTCATCGCTAGTGATACCTGGTGTAATCTCTCCTTCAGCTAATAACTGGTTCATATTGTTGCAGCATTATAAAATAATAACTCTTAAGTAGACTTATCTTTGATTCTTTTACAAGCACACTAATAAAAGTATAAAAGTAATGAAAATAACATATTAGATATTGTTTTGTTTGTTGGAACTGGGAAGGTAACAAGTAGAAGCCTTGTTTTGCCTATTAAGACTTGCTTCTAGGCAGTTTATTGAGGCTTACTAAAGAATTGCAAAACTTGAATAGGTTAACCCAGCTTATAAGCATCTATAGAATTATAATCCAAAAGGACAAATTCCCACAACTTTAATTTCTCAGTAAATAGAACTTATTGGCTAAGATCTATAATCAAGGCCAAGCTTTATCTGACTGAAAATAAAAATTGCACATATTCTATATTATTGTGCATAGTGATTATAAAGAAACTCTCTTACGAAAAATCAAATTTTCGTAATTTGAGCACTCTCATAGGTAATAAGCCTGCCCAATGAATTGTATCACCCACATATCAGAAAAGACACCGAATTGGCAAATAGGCAGGTTCAGTTTGCTTAGCCATGCCACCCAAAACATTGATCTTGCAAAAGTTTCTTAGATCACTGCTTTGGTTCATTGTTGCAATTGGGGTTTCACATATTTCCCTATCCCCATTGGCCCAGGAGTTACTTAACATTGTTACAGCGGTACTTTTAATTTTTGTATCCTGAAGTTAGCCAGAAACCAAATAGGCTAGCAAATGTTTGAATACCATCACTGGAAAATCAGAAGGCCATAAAAAGAGAAATTATAAATTATAATGTGACTGCAATTTCACACCATCAGCTAGTGCTATTATGTTACCAACAAGGAAGTACCTCAGGATGAGATCGGGGTGTTGGTTGGCCAACATCAACTGATCTGGTGTTGTTTGCAACTAGTCGTACCAAATTTTGAGAAGCGGATAAGAACCGAGGTGCTGCCTGCGTTCAAAATTCCGACAAAGCATAAAACACATTTGAACGTTGTACAAAAAAACATAATTATTTTGTTCATGCCTACGAACTAATCAATGATATCAAATCAAAGTATTTTGTTGTCTTTTTAATTCAGCTGCCAATGCCACTACTTACTGACAAGGGGTGGATGAGACATGCAATCCATCTAAAGTTCACCAATTACCAAATCTCGAAGCATTTTTGACAATTTGACATGGTACAGTGGATCTCGCACCAACAACTCACTCAACTGAAGCCTAAAGCAAGCACCTCAATATTTATCATCTCTAGGACAATACCATTACTCCTACTTACCAATCATCAAAAGTCTGAAAAGAAGTCAACACCAATCAAGCTACATGTACATCTAGGCATCTATCTTACTAGCTAATAATCGAGAATGCAATAGCAAGCATAACATTTTGAACAATTCCATTGAAATAAAGAGTACTACAAACCCACACTAACAAACTGAAATTACATCACCTACCCAGACTCCAGCACTAGGTGAGCTACTCCCAATCCAATTCGGACAGAAGGCCATAGCGAAGAAAAGAAGATCAAGGATGAAATCGAACGAACTGAGCTCCGAGACTGCATCTTTAAGCTGATGCTTCCTCAACCACCCGCACAGGGTCAAGAGAAGCTCGCGCCAAAGTTTTTCTTTTTTTAAAAAAAAAAAAAGCATCAACCGCACTGAGTCAAGAAAAGCTCGCACAAAACACACACAAACACACGCATAAATAGTCAAGAAAAGCTCGCACAAAAAATAAATCGTCGCGTAAAGGAGGCGCCACTCCAAAACCCTAGAATGGAAAAAAAAAACCTAAATCACAGCAAGAACAAGTAAAAGAAAAATCGATATAAACTGGGGGAGCAGCCCAGACGAAATCCCCCAGCAACAACAAAAAAAAGTTGAGAGGAAGTAGAATTCGATTGGGAGGGGTGGAGTGAGTACCTCGCCCCCTCGCAGGCTCCTTCGCAGGAGCCGCACCGCCGTCGCCATGGCCGCCGCGGAATCCGCCGCCGCCGCCCTAAACCCTTGCTTTGCTATGCTGGTTTTTTTTTCTTGTTATTATTAAGACAACTATTTGACCCGTATCCGTATGTATCGGCTTCTATTCTGGCCCATTATAAATTGATCTGGCTCATGCTTTGGGCCGAATTAACGCGTACTTTTGGGCTGAATTTGCAAGCAATTTTGGTCCAATTCACATGTTTTCCACTTGTTTTAGCAAGATATTGGATATATCTTTTAAAAAAAATTGGATCCTTTTACTCTGAATTCCGTTAGAGAAGAGATTTAGGTGGTGTACTTTTTTCATGAAAATGAAGATAAAGATGAAGATTAAGTTTTTTACGCAAAACGAGATGGTATTAACATATGATTGATTGAGTTTTAATTATTACAAACTTGAAAAATAGATTAATATGATATTTTAGAGCAACTTTCATATAAAAAATTTTCACGCGAAACACACCGTTTAACAGTTTGAAAAGTGTGTCACGAAAATTTTAATCTTCATCCAACTCTTGTTGGAGAAAAGAACAGATATTCTCTCTATGGACCTGTTCGGTTGCCTATTTTGCGGCTGCGGTGCACCCGGCACGCCACACGCACACGGCGCAGCTTGCCGAACAGGCCCTATTGCACTTTTTAAAACTCGTGAAATGCCAAGTTGGTACAAATACGGAATTGAGAAACGCTATCAGGCTGAATTCGCACGTAGTTTGGCCCAATTCGCAAATGTTTACGGGCCAAAGTCACAGATAGTTATGGCTGAATTTATACATACTTCTGGACCAAATTCACACGAATCTTTGGGCTCAATTTACACGTACTTCAGTTAGTGAGACGTATTTGTCAGTGAGAGACTGAGAGAGGCTGTAATTATGTACCCTGGATTGTTAATTGCAAAATGGTATTATTTAAGGTTTAGTTTATATAATTTGAAGCTAGTTTTGAATGTTGAGAATTTAATTTTATACTACCATAGCCCAGCTAAAATTATTCTTAATTATAACAAAAGGAGTGCATGCATAAATTGCATATATCATAAATCAATAGGGGTTCAAAGTAGTGGAAGGTGGCTGCAAACCATACAGTCAGCATGAGCATAGAACAACTCAACAGATGATATGCATCAAAAGAGGGGTCATAAGTTAACTTACAACAAAGCATATTGCCTTATTTCCAAACATTTCAAATAAAATTGGACAGAAACTCTTTTATTTTATCAATAAAGGGCGGCCGAGTAGGAATTATATGGCCCATATCATGCTCAATAACAGAGCGACAACTCTTATCAAATCGATTCGCGAGTTCGGTGCTTGCCCTGTTTGCTATCTGCCTGTCATGATCTTCAGAGTTGCCAAAGCAATGAAGCGAGGGGAGCTTAATTGGCTCACCGTCAAAATCACTTATGATCGGTGCTGGATAACCAGAGCAGAATATCCCAAACCTGAATTTGAGGGAGCCACAAGTCTTCTGCTGCTGTCTGCAGAACAAGGCTGCCATTGCTGCGCCCTGGGAGAAACCAAGAATGCCGTCAATGTTCCCCATCTGAGAGATAGCATGTTCAAGGTATGCGTATGATTCCTCGAATCCATCAGTTTGTTGCTGATACTGAAGAGGGTCGAATGGTGCATCTGCAATCTTCCAGTCATGCTCAGCGTAAAAAATTGAGTTTGGAGCAACTAGCCATGCGTATTTTCTCTTTGGTGTGCCAGATGGCAGTGAAGATCTGCCAGAGCAGTGATCTGGATTTGGTTTGTACACAAACGAAAGCTCATGTGGAGCATCTATAAAGACAAGATCGGCAATGTGCTTTAGCTTCTTGGCAAGTGCTGATGTTCTTCCCTTAAAATTTGATGCATTCTGACGGAAACCATGCAAGCAGAGGATCTTTAGCTTCTTCAGCTGCTCACTACCTGTACAGCATTTCCACACATCAGAGGACGCCCAGCATCAAGAAATGCAAGTAGATATAGCTGACTTGAAGACTGAAATGAATGGAACAACACATGTGCATGTTCTTTCAAACAAATACACAGGTTTAAACAAAATGGAATAAGTTACTGAATCTTTGCTCAATATGCACGTATCAACATGGAGTGCACGTATCAACATGGAGAGACTTGCTGTGGATAGTATATAGCTGGGAGAGTACAAAAGCAAACTGATACAGACCTTACCATTACTCCTGGGAATGGTTGAAGTTGCACTTTGATTAATAATCATTGGTATTCCAAAGTCAGAAGAATCTATTAGCTCTGACTCTGTTTTGCAACCTTGCCTTGGTGACGTTTGGCAGCATTGCTTTCCGTTCTTTTGGCACAACTCGCAAACATAATCCTTAGTGGAATCCTGGAGAAGAAAGAAATTTAGTAGGCAAATCTTGTGGCATGGAAGCACATATTTCAATAGCAGAAGTTAAGATGCCAATCATTAAAAGTTACTTAAAAGGAAAGCAATAACAGGTATAGGATCCTATCAACCTGACATGTGGAGCACACTAGCACCAGCATTCTACAATGGCTGCAACGACAACGGGGCGAGTAGTCATCGAAAGAAGAACCACATAGCAAACAAGTTCCAAGTATGTTCTCTTTTAGGCTTCCCACTGAAATCCTGATTATTCACATCAAAACAAGTTAGCAGTATAGAATCTAAGAAATCTTCAGGACAACAATTCCACTAAGGAATTGAGTGAAACTACATGTTAACAGTACAGATATAGTTGTACCTATGGTCAAATACAAAATTCTTCCCTTCAAAATAGCCACCATCTGGGAATCGCTCCAGATATCTCTGAATGCCACCATATAGCTAACGCGAGCATAACAAGAAATGAATGATCAGTTGGCCCCAAGCAATGAAGCAATGCACACTACCACAACATCTTCAACACTATTTCTCGAAGTGTCAAATTACCAATTCAAAAGGGTTGCAATACCTGAAATACGTTCTCAAAGCCTTCACCTTTCGAGCGGATATATGCCGATGCCATCTCACACCGTATACCTCCAGTGCAGTACCTGAAAAATACAAAATCAGTAGTTAGGTTGATCACTTCAGAGATGCCAAAGTCTATCCACAACAGCAGGTTGTTCAATAGTTAATTTGTAAGATCCAGTCATATATACATCATAATTGATTTGCCGCGGAGCTTCTCAGCATGCTCATCTATCCACAACGGCAGGTCACTGTACTGCCTGATTTCTGGATCCAGCGTCTCCACGTTCGGTACACGGAACTTGCCAATCCGTGTCTCGTAGACATTTCGCGCATCCAAGACAACCACTTCACTCTTCTCCACGGTTGCTTCAGAGTCCGAAGTAGCTCCTGCTATAACAAAACCCCACCTTAAACATTCAGTACTCAATTTTAATCCAGAGAATCGCAATATGGGGCAAACATCAGTCTCAGAATCCACTGACCAACACTTTGGAGTACCGAATGGAACTCCGCAGCCGACAAATGCCTCCCGGCGCATGTAATCTGCGGGGTTGCCAACGACGGGTTTGCACAAAGCGTTACCAGCTCCTGCCAATTGCAAGAAACAACTCAAAATGTAAATGTAATTGGGACAGCTACGAGGTTGCATCGAATTCCTGAATGGTAAGAGGAGAAACACCTTGACGAGCCGAACGGAGAGCGAGGTGAAGCCGCACTCCCTGGCGACCCGCTCGTCGACGGGGTCGTCGCAGGAGGCCAGCTTGAAGTCGGTGCCGTCGAACAAGGCGTTGGAGCTCATCTCGGCGACGTGCTTCTCCAGCGCCGCCATCCTCCCCCCGAGCTAGCAGACACCACAAATCCAGAATCCAGCGAGGTCAGCGAGGAGCGACCCCCAAAATGGCTAGAGCGAGAGAAGGAGGATGCTCACTGTGGCGTTGACGCCGTCGGGGCCGACGCGGACGCGGCCGACGAGGGCGAGAGCGCGGCAGTGGGACTCGTAGAAGGCGGCGAGCGCCGCGGCGTCGGGCACCTCGGCGTACTTGTAGTAGAGGAGCACCCCGTATCTCCCGCCCTCATCGCCGCCGCTGCGATCTCCTTGCCCCTCCTGCCCCCGCGGCGGCGGCGCCGCCGCGTCCATGGCTCTCAGCGCGAAACCCTAGGCGGCGGCGGCGGGAGGAAGACGACGAGTCCACAGCGAGTGGGCTTAACCTAGCCGTAACACGGCCCACGTTAACTTTTAATTACAGAAGCCACTTGTTAATATTTGAAGTAAATTTCATGCATTGTATCAGTATCACTAACAGGGTTGGTTTAGCAATAAATTTATTACAAAACTACATACTTACTAGTATTGCATTTATCATGAAATTACATGTAATTTTAGAGTTTAAATTCCTAGAACCATTGTTATGTTGGAGATATAAACATTACAGTTTTGTGATAGTTTTGTTGCTAAATACTCCTATATAAGTTTGTGACACTCTGTCTTAAACATGTAGCTATATGATAAATTTGATATTAACTTTATCTTTTTTGATACACTGAGTTAAATATATAGTTTTATGATAGTTTGTTTAGGTCAGTGAAAGTTACTCTAATTTTTATTTCCACACGTATTACGCTCTCTTTTATTACAAATTTACGTGGACTTTCGGCCGAAATGAGGCGCAGTTGTGGGCCTACTTGCGCGAACTTTTGGCCCGATTCTGGTAGGGCCTATTTACTCACAAATTCCACCTCGCGAGGATCCCGGTCCACCAAACACAAGGCCTTTTTGTTGCCTATTTATGAGTGGAATAAGCTTATCTGAAGTCCCTTTAACTTGTCAACAAATCCCGATTTTCATCCTTCTTCAACCGAAAAACCAGATACAACGGATCCCTCAACTATTAAAATCGGTGCAGATGAGGTCCCTCGACGGTTTGATGGTGGTTTTGGCTGACGTGGCACCTACATGGCATTTGATGTGGCGCTTACGTGGCAATTCTATCACTGAAAATAATAAAAAACCATGGGCCCACATGTAAGTTAAAAAAAACTGGTGGGCCCCAAGTGGGTCCCACATGTCAGCTCTCTCTCACTCACTCTTCTCATCTCAATCCCCACCTCTTCTTCCTCCTCTCTCCCCATCTCACATATCTTCACATCTCTCCCCTTTCCTCTCTCCTCTCACCGGCGGAGATGCGGACAGCGTCGAGGCGCGGCCTCCTCCACTCCCGCCCCCATGGGCCTACCGCCGGCTGCCGCTGCCCTCTCCTCGTCGCCTGCCGTGCCTGCCTCCGCCGCCTCCGCATGTTCCCGCCGCCGCCGCCGCTTCCCCCTTGCCTCGGCCTCCGGTGGCTGTTCTCCAGCACCGCCTTCCGCCCCCGCGCCCTCCTCAGGAAAGGTCGCCGCGCTCGCCTCCACCGGCGACCGAGCAGGAGGGGTCCGGGCACCGAAGCGATGCAGTTGTAGTGGGACTGTGGGAGCACCCCGTCGATCTCATCCTACCGGGGGCGAACATGTCGAAGCAGATGGCACAGGTGAGCCGCCTCCGGTTGACCCGCGTGGGCACGGTGCTGTTGCCTACATTCTCCACCCCGTACGCCGCCGGCGGCCACCGGCCTGTACACGTCGCCGTACACGATCATCTCGTCGTCGCCGAGCTCGTCGTTGAGCCTCGCGATCATGTCCTGGAGGCCGGCGTTGAAGCGCTCGACGACGGTGTTTTTCTCGTCGGTACACGCGCCACCGCTCGCCGTGGCGCGCTCCAGCGGGAGGCAGCCCATGGGCGGGAGGCCGTTAAGGTCGACCTTGCAGGCACCGAGTGCGTGCAGCTCGCGGACGAATGAGTACGACTCGGCGATGCGCCGATGCCGAGGAGGTAGTCGCCGTACGCCACCGCCGTGGAGTACTCCGCCGCTTGGGCGTGCGCCATGGCGTAGTAGTTCTCGAGGAAGTCGTTGGTGCCCATGCTGACGACGTAGAGCGCCTCCGACAACGTCGCCGCCGCCGCGTCTTCGTCCTCCCGGAAGCTTTGAAGCCTCGCCGCGTACTCCTTGAAGTAGTCCAGCTCCTTCCACATCGGCAGCACCGACTGCACGACGCGACCTCACAAAATTACTCCATGGATGCCATGTGTGATGTCACCCAAGAACACCATGAAAATGTAGCTAAGCTAGCTATCGTTTTGCTCTAATGGAAGGCTAACGAAAAGATCAGAGGTGGCATTGTCGTAGCCGGCGCCGGCGGAGGCGAAGCATGCGCCGGCGGCAAGGCTGCTCATGTTGACGCCCGGGTCAAGGGCCGGGACGAGCGGCGGCAGCCCGAACGCCTCGGAGTGAAGTCGACGGCAAGGGTCCAGATGAGAAGAGTGAGAGAGAGAGAGCACTGACTTGTGGGGCCTACTTTTTTTTTAACTGACATGTGGGCCCATGGTTTTTATTATTTTTCGGGGATAGAATTGCCATGTAAACGCCACGTCAATGTCACGTGGGACGAATACCGAGTCAAATTAGCCACATAGGCGTCACGTCAGCTAAAACCGCCGAGGGACCTCATCTGCACCGGTTTTGATAGTTGAGGGACCTGTATCTGCTTTTCCGGTTGAAGGATGAAAATCGGATTCGTTAACAAGTTAAGGGACCTCAAGTGAACTTATTCCTTTATGAGTTGGGCCCATCACTAAGATTCTTGCCACTGCCTAATTGGTGGGCTCAACTGAGTCGGCCCATTTGTGGAACCGGCCCATTAGGAAGTGGGCTGATTTGGGGATGAAACATCTGGGCCCACTGGCCAGCCCGGCCCATGTTCCATCTTATCCTCTTCTCTTCGCCGCCCATTTCGCTCCGCGTCCCCCGCAACCCAAGAACCCCGGCGAGAACCTCGACCTCGCTCTCCTCGCCCGCCACCATGGAGGCCACCGCCGCGCCGCGGCCGCTGTCCCTCCTCGCGCGGCAGCCGCAGCCGCAGCCGCAGCAGCTGAGGCTGAGGTTGCAGCGGGTCGCCGCGTTCACCGGAGTTGGAGGCGGGGGGCGGCGGCTGATGGTGGCCGCGGCGGCCAAGAAGAGGAGGGGGAAGGGCGGGGAGGGGGAGGAGGAGGAGGAGAGGGTGGACACCCACAGCTTCGCGCCCAAGGCCGGCGAGGCCACCGGGCCGTTCCCCGAGGCCGTCCTGCTCAGGAAGGTGCGTTTCTTGTTACTGTTCCAACTCACCGCCGTGAATTATGGATAGAACGAAGCTGTGGTTGGTTTCTTGTTAGTCGCGGAGAATCGAGGAATTGGAGTATGACAGTGGAGGCTAATGGCGAGATTGTGTTGGATGTTCTTATGTTGAGGAAGTAATAGCATGATTAGAAATACACAATTATGATGGCTCCATGGCTGATTTTGCTGCTGTTTATTGTGAGTAATGCGGTTGATGCATTGTCTTGTCCAATGGTGGGTTGGACACCAGTTTGTCTGATGAGTTTGTTATTACTACTTTGCACGGCTGGTGAACAATGGTAATCACTGAATTACCAGCGTTGTGAATGCAGATACAAGCTGCAACATTTCGGGTTTAGCTACAATGTTTGTACTAGTGATCATGGAGCTTTACTGGATCTTGTCTGCTGACTGAATTTGCTCATAGGTTCACCTGCTTTCAACTTTAATTCTCGAGGGCATGTTGCTCTTTGTCTTTGACTGGGTTCTGATGACCAAAAACGCTGTGCCCATTTGTTTTAACATAGTTGATATTGTTTAATGTCATGACAAAGAATGAAATTCATTGTGTTACTCGTTTGTTCTGTTGGCTTTTTTACAGAAAATGGTGAAAGATGATGGTCAAGTTGCACCTGAATTTGCTGATGCAGATGAAGGTGTTATTCATTTTCTTTATATTGTTATTTTCCTTTTTGTGTTTCATGCAAATATTTTAAACCAGTCTAACCAAATTTTTACTCATTTGCAGAAAAGCTATATGAGTTTCTTAATATCCAAATGGAGAGTGATTTAAATCTGAAAAGAAGTAAGATCTCTTTCCTTTCCTCATTTACTGAGATAGTTTTTTTTTTGTTTGTTTTATCTATGTCCAGTCCATTTGTGTTATTATTTATATGTGGCAATACTAAATTAACATGACTAACTTTCTCCCTTATGCAGTGCGGCATTATGAAGTGGTTTACCTAATTCATGAGGATCGTGTGGAAGAAGTTGAAGATGTTGTATCAAAAGTACAAGGTGCATTTCTCAACATGCTTCTCTTGTACAGCTGTTTGAAGTCAGCAAATTGGAGTTATTTCACGAAAGAGAAAAAAAAAACTAAAACTCTCTTAAAGAGTTATCTCAGTCACTTTATGGCAAATAAACATAGTTATATGTTATATTTATGTGCATAGGAGACTCTCGAAGAGTTAATCTCAGTCATCTCATGGCTAACAAAAATAATTGTATTAGTATATGTAGGAGCTTGACACCCATGGATGCAGAGTCATTTCCTGCCAAATTACTACTATGTATTTCTTTTATGCTCTATGTCAAATCTTCAGGGCAGACAAGAATATTCTTCGATTGTTCAGGAGTTAGTGTTTGTCTGCTTTTTTCTTCTTTTGGTCTAGCAATTTAATTATTAGGCTTCTAATTACCAATATCATTTTATCTATCGCAGATTTTGTCAGAGAGAAGAAAGGAAGGATATGGAGGCTTAACAATTGGGGACTGCGTAGACTTGCTTACAAAATAAAGAAAGCAAGACATGCCAACTACATCTTAATGAACTTTGAGATACAGGCAAAATACATCAATGACTTCAAGACCCTGCTAGATAAGGACGAGAGAATCATTAGGCATCTCGTGATGAAACGGGACGAGGCGATCACTGAAGACTGCTCTCCCCCACCAGAGTTCCACACCCTGCGAGCTCAACAACAGTATATGGATGATGAATACATTGATGATGAAGATGATGGCAAAGAGGAGCAGGAGCCGGAGGAGGATTGGGATGACAAGGGTGAAATGGAGAACGCTGGTTATGAAGATGATGATGAACCTGAAATTATTCTTGTTGATGAAGTCGAGCGCGATAACAACGAAAACATTAGAAGAAGGAACAGGACAATGAAAGTAGAGAAGTACGCAGCTGAGAAAGTCTTGAGGTAGCTTAGATGTCTCTGTTTTCATTTAGTCTTAGTGTAAGACTACCCCTTTTTTTCTATACAAAGGACCCACCTGTATGAAAATATGACTACAAAGTAATCTCAGCTGAGTGCATTCCATGTATCAAATGACCACTGTTTTGATGATAAGTTCATTAGGTGTTCCCTTGTACCTGAAGCTCCTATTCCATGTGATTTTGTGTGCACCACCACTTATACATAAAAGGAGAAATGAGGTGTGATGATGTGATCTACAGTCTACACCTTCCACTTTAGAGAGATCTTTTATGGCTATATTAGCGTATCATGTTTTCTACTCAAAATGTGTTTTTTGAACTTTAAACATGTGTACATTTAAGTGGCATCGATCTCATGTAGATCGTCTATACAATTATTATACTTGTGGAAAATTGTTGTATATACTCACCCCTCTGTTTCATATTACAAGACGCTTTGACTTTTTTTAAAAAAACTCAAACGTGTGTAAGTTTGTCAAAGTTTATAGAAAAACATAGCAATATAAAATAAACATAGTATCAAAATATATTCAGTGTTACATTTAATGAAATTAATTTGGTATTATAGGTGTTGCTATATTTTTCTATAAATTTAATTAAACTTAAAAAAAAATTAACTTAGAAAAAAAAATCAAAACACCTTATAATAAGAAACAGAGAGAGTATTTTGCATCTTACGCTACATTTATTTGCCATCCGCATTCTCATTGTCTTTTTTTTTTCTGAAATTGGGTTTCTGCCCTTCACCATCAACTATGATTATAGTCCACTTTTGCATTTGCCGTGCCGTTTTAGGGACTCTTGACGTGGACGTAACCACAGCAGCCGGGAACTGTACTGTGTTCATCAAAGCTTGAGATTGTTCAAGAGTTAGTTGCAGTTTCAATGTTTCATCACAAGCTCAATAAATGTTTGAGTACTGAATCATATCGATCGATCCATAAATAGCATTAAGTTAGGGAATCTCTCAATCGTGTTTCAATTGGTTTTTGAGATGGTCAAGATTTGCAATCTGCCAACGAAAGCTCATCCTTGCATGTATGCAGGTGTACTGTACATCATCTTCCTGCTTCACATTATCTCGACGAGTAAAATACACTGCTGATCCTTAAACTGAACTTATGCACGCGTGTAATTTAGGATCAAACTTAGAAAGTTCCTGTTTTTTAGACTTTAAACTTGTTAAACATACCATTGATAGTCCACATTGGGCATGGTTTTGTACTTCTCGTTGAATAGTGTATATATATTCATCTATGCATGATATTGACACTTGATCATTATTATTTTTAAACGACTCACACAAGACGGACGGTGTGAAGTTTTATTGATAGAGCATGAGAAAAAAAATATAAGATTACAACCTTTGAAGGTCGTAAGTAGGAAAAAGAAATAAAGAATATCTTCACCCACACACCGACAATGCGAACATAGAGAACCAGGAGAAGGCTAGCATCGGACTGGCCGCCGCTGAGCGTGACCGAACTTGATCATTATTTTCTTGTGATTATCTCTATCAATCGATACTGATCTGTTATCTCTACGTACTTAACCCTTTCATCATCAGTTCCTGCATGTAGCTACCAAAATCTTGGTAATTTATACATCTGTCCTTCCTAACCAAAATCTGAAGAGCTATGAGTTCTACTAAAAAACAATACTGAAGAAACTGAAATCTGAAAAAGGCAAATGAGGTGACAGGTAATCTGTTGAACCGTTCTGACCTTGTCCTATGTACGACGTAGAGCTAATTATCATAGATTTCCTTGAGTACATGGCCATGATCTGGAAAAATTCTATATAATAGCCTCACCTATCCCATTAACGATCAATCATCTCTGTTTAATCTCAGTATTCTTCAGTGACTCAAAACATTAAAAATGTTTTTTGAAAAATTATAACAATAACAGCGTTTGTAGTCCAACGGTTAGGATAATTGCCTTCCAAGCAATAGACCCGGGTTCGACTCCCGGCAGACGCACTTTTTTCCTTCCCATTTTTTAGTTTCAAATATGGCATTTTCATCACTAAATTCATGTGTTAAATACCTCTCCACATTTTACTTTCAAAACACGCCCCTTTTTTAGTTTCAAATATGGCCCTTTTAGTGAGTTCATTGTAAAATTTACTATTTTCAAATATGGCCTATTGGCCTTTTGAGTAACTTCATATTGGTAAACTTCTCTGGATGGAAGAAATGGAGTGCATGAAAAATGTTTTGTTACCCTTTTCTTTATTTATTATTTAACCAGGCTTCATGTGAAAGTTGGACAAAATACAGCAGCTTCAACCATCCAGTGGTTCAACATTACAAACTATAAACTTCTCTGGATGGAAGAAATGGAGTGCATGAAAAATGTTTTGTTACCCTTTTCTTTATTTATTATTTAACCAGGCTTCATGTGAAAGTTGGACAAAATACAACAGCTTCAACCATCCAGTAGTTCAACATTACAAACTATGGGAAACTACACATCACATAGCACCGTTCTACATTTTACAAAAATTGAAACAAATCCATGACCAAACAAGAAATATAAAAAGAATAAAACAAAGTGTATATTTACAATAATGTTTCCAGTATTTATTGTATTTTTTTACTTCTCTCTTCTCATACGCCTCTATATATGTATATCAGTATATCTATCACTGGTACCATACTCCTCGATTCACTGACACGTGGGCCATCCCCTTGTCAGCGAAGCATACTGACGCTCGATTCTTTTTTTTAAAAAAAATTATTTCATCCGTCCCAAAATAAGTGCAATTCTGTATTATTCATGTCTAATGTTTGATCGTTCGTTTTATTTGAAAATTTTTATGATTAGTATTTTTGTTGTTATTAGATGATAAAACATGAATAGTACTTTATGTATGACTAATTTTTTAATTTTTTTATAAACTTTTTAAATAAGACGGATGGTTAAATGTTGAACATGAATATCCACAGCTGCATATTTATTTTGGGACGGAGGAAGTAGTAAATTACTTGGCGCCGACGTCGCCGCGGCGGCGGACGACGCCGTCGTTGCCGGCGAGCATGAGGTACTTGTCCTTCCTGGTGAGCATGGTGCTCTCGTACCCGAGCGCCTCCGCCACCCGCCGCTGCACGGCGTTGGCCAGCTCGGTGCTCGCCGCCTTCCCCTCCCTCACCGGCGACGCGTCGACGGCGGGGAGGAACTCCACCGTGTAGCACATCCTCGGGTTGGCCAGGTAGCACAGCGCGTCCATGGACTTCCACCCGCCGGCCGTCGTGCCGTGGAACGCCGCCGCCTCGGCGGCGAGCGCCACGGGCACGACGCCGTCGGCGAGCTCCGCGAACAGCGGGCTGAACCGCAGCAGGTACGGCTCCCGGCAGGTGGTCCCCTCGGGGCAGACGACGACGTGGGCCCCCGCCTCGAGGAGGCGCGCCATGGCGGCGCCGTCGTGGGCGCGGTCCCTGGCGAGGCGCACGGTGGCGCCGATCGGGGAGAGGAGGTCGGAGACGCGGCTGAGGCTGTACGACACGGCGCGCACGGGGCGGTCCAGCGCGATGGACACGTACACCGGGTCGATCAGCGTGCGGTGGTTGCACACGTAGAGCTGCCCGCGCCGCCGCTCGCCGGTGGCGCGCCGCGGCGGCGGCGTGGGCGTGGGCGGGGGCGAGCCCCTGAGGCGCCAGGACTGGCCGGTGGCGGCGAGGAGGAGCGTGGCGTGGCGGTAGGGGAGGGCGAGCGCGACGGCGAGGCGGGTGGCGGCGAGGGCGGCGCCGAAGGGGAGCCAGACGAGCATGGCGGCGGCGGCGAGCGGCGTCGGGAGGAAGGCGAGGCGGCCGTCGTGGAAGACGAGGGGGCGAGGGTACTCGCGCCGCCGCGGCAATGGCCGCCACTTGCTCTTCTCCTCGTGGCTCACCACGTACACCTCCTGCAAAATTAGCCACGATTTAGTCAAGCAATTACGGAGTACAACTTTAGTTACACTGATCAATCTTTTAAATTAGGTTGAGTTCTTTCCCCAACTTTCCAAACTCACATTCTACGTTTTTTCGCGCACTCTTTTCAAATCACTAAATGGTACGTTTTTCTAAAAGAAAAATTTATATGAAAGTTGCTTTAAAAAATCATTTTAATCCATTTTTTTTTCAAATCACTAAACGGTACGTTTTTCTAAAAGAAAAATTTATATGAAAGTTGCTTTAAAAAATCATTTTAATCTATTTTTTATAAAAAATACTCCCTTTGTTTCAGGTCACGAGACATTTTGATTTTGGTCAAAGTCAAACTATTTTAAATTTAACTAATTTTATAGACAAATATAGTAATATTTAAATACTAAATGAGTTTCATTAAATAAATAATTGAATATATTTTCATAATAAATTTGTCTTTGGATGAAAATGTTACTATTTTTTTCTACAAACTTGATTAAACTTGAAACAGTTTAACATTGACAAAGTTAAAATGTCTTATAACAGAGGTAGTAGTAAACTCTTAATTAATCATAAAAAAATGTGTCGCTCCGTTTTACCTGCGCGGGAGGTAAGAGTTCCCAACCTCACCAGCTCACCTCCCGAACACAACTAGGTCATTCAAAAGCATTTAATTGATGTAAAAAGAAATATATTTAATATTATTTTTTTATAGATTGGTCAAGCTTGAAAAGAATTTTCGCTAATAAAAAGAATCAAACGAGTTGTAATATAAAACAGAGGGAATAACTATAAACACGAGAAAATTTTCATTGGTGATTTTACCTTGCAAAATGACACCAAAGGACTCCGGAGCAAATCCATGGATCCTCCCGAGAAACCAACGACGTCATCGACCCCTTCCATCGCCCTCCTCACCTCCGGCGACGCCGCCGCCACCTCGCCACCGTCCTCCATGACCCCAGTGTAGAACCCCCACACCACCTTCATCTCCCTCGCCGCCACCACCACCTCGCCTCCTCCCTCCGCCGCCGCCATGTACTCTCTCAAGAACGGCTCCACCATCACCCTCGGCATGCTGCTCGCCCACACCACCGTCGCCGTCGCCGCCGGCGACGAACGCCGCCGTGTGAGTGTGACGATGGCGTCGACCGCCTCCTTCCCGACGTCGTCGAGGAGCCACCGCGGCAGCACGGTGCGGCCGGCGCGGAACCGCGACTCGCGCAGCCCGCAGAACGCCACCGCCGCCATGGCCCTCACCGCCACGTCGCCGCCGCCGGCGCCGGCGAGGAGGGAGATGACGGGGTAGAGGAGGAGGAGGAGGAGGCCGCGGAGGAAGCTCCCGGCCTCGACGGCGACCAGCATGAAGTAGGGGAAGAGCGAGCGCGACGACGACGAGCGGAGCAGCGCGCCCTCGACGTCGACGACCATCGTCACCGTCTTCTCGCCGCCGGCGGAGAGCCGCGCCGCGGGAGGCGTGCACCCGTGGACGGTCACGGCGGGAACACGCGGCGGCGGCAATGTGGCGGCGCCGCCGTGGAGGAGGAGGGAGAAGAGGGCGGGGAAGAGCTTGGTCTTGGCCATGGCGTGTGGTTGCACTTGCACACTTGCACCTCTACATGGCGGACTCATCGTATGTATATATAGAGGTAGGCAATGTGAACGTATCTTTGTACACATCAAATTTATTACTCCCTCCGTTTTTTAACATATGGCGCCGTTAACTTTTAAACACATATTTGATCATTTGTCTTATTTAAAAATTTTATGTAAATGTATAAGATATAAATCATGCTTAAAGTATTTGGAGTGATAAAACAACTCACAATAAATTTATAATTACGTAAATATTTTTAAATAAGACGAATGGCTAAACGTGTGATAAAAAGTCAACGACACGTCATCTATTAAAAACAGAGGTAGTATACTAGTATATTTTACCCTAAAAAGATAAAAATTCTAATAGTTTTTAAGAGTATAAATCTATTAGAATTTTTTCTTTTCCGTTGACCCCCGTATATGATAAACTTAAAAGATGAGACTTTATACATATATGTAATACTATAAAAGTATATATGTATAAACTTCTTAAAATGTTTGGCGATAATTTTTAAACTAATGTTCACACAGAAAGCCTTTTGTGTATAGGATTAGTTCCATGCATGCATGTCTAATAAAGTGGTTGCCGAATTTGCCATTGCTAGCTAGCTTGCTAATATATGTTTCTCTTTAACTATATTAGCTTAGGTCACCGTATAGATTGTTTGTAAGTGAGATATATTAATTAGTGGTGATATAATAAATATTGTTTGATCTTAATTACTACCTTCGTTCCAAAATACTCCCCTCCATCTACTTTTGATAGTCATATTTTTAAATCTGAAAAATCTATTTTTGATAGGCATATTTCAATCCAACAACCTATCCTCTTAATGACTTTCTCGGATTTAATGCATGACTCTCCATTCTTCCACACAAGATTGGCTACATGGGCATCGAGAAATGTAAATGTTAATGAATCGTTTGTTTACGAGGAATGACTAGTAGCATGTTTAAATAGATGATAAGTAGAATTACTTATCTTTGGTCTGTGTATCAAGATAAAATATGACTATCAAAAGTAGATGGAGGGAGTAAGTGCAGTTGTGAGTATCCGTGTCCAACGTTTGACTATCCGTCTTATGAAATATGACTATCAATGTTTTATCATCTAATAACAATAAAAATACTAATCATAAAAATTTTTACAAATAAGACGAACGGTCAAACGTTGGACATGAACGGTGGAAAGCGGGACAAAGGTAGTACTCTCTCCATTCCAAATTGATCTACATATAGTTTTTTTGAGGTTATTCCTAAATGATCTACATATTTGTGTTCATTCATTAAGTCTATTCGTTATTTGTGCATTGAAGTAAATGGACATTGATGCATGCATCCATGCACACAAGTATTTATAACCCACATGCAATATCTTGATTTGCTATTGGCTAGGAAATAGTGGGGATGGTGTATGCATAGAGTTTGTTGCTAGAGTAAATATAGTATGAGAGAGTTAATAGTTTTTCTTGGTCTTGGTGTACCTATGAAATATATAGATCGATTTGGAATAGAGGGAGTACTTAGTAGAAGGAGATTATTTTATAAAATTATTAAAGACGACTAGGGATCAAGACGTGGTAACTTCAGAGGTTTCTATAAACGTATAATTAACTAGCTGTAAATACAAACACTCATGTTAAATTTATAACTTCGGTCAGACGGTTATGTTCTTGATTATTTACTCCACGTTTCAATAGATATATGTGACCACTTATTTTAAATTATTTGTTAAGTTTGTTTTCAATATTTAATTTATCACTATAATCAAGTAGATAGAATTCGTGGCAATAATCTAAATTCAAGCGAGCCTTGAACTCTAGAGCTACAATTTACATAATTATTCAATTTTAAAATTAGAGAATGGGATAAGTCGCTCTTTCATTTGGAGAACCGGAGACCCTGTTCATGGTGAGATGGGGGTGGAGAGACAACTAATTTGCATAATTAGTTGATTGCTAGCTTGTGCGTGGAAAAGATCATTATTATGTACTGAACTTTAATTTTTCTGATGACAAACTGATCATGTACTACACTGGACTTTAATTTTTCTGATGACAAACTGATCATGTACTACACTGGACTTTAATTTTTCTGATGACAAACTGATCATGTACACACATGCCAACCAAATGATTGATTTGTTGCCTGCATGCATGCTCCTGTACGTTGCTGCACATGCATATGCACTCTGCTAATTAATTAAACTCATGTAGTCTTAACCATACTCATTTCGATCTGAACTATATACATCGACATACTGTCAGTGAGTAAGGTACTATTAGAAACTAAGTACTGATCGAGTTTCTTCACTATTTGAGAATGTACAAAACTATTTTGAAACAGATTATTCAATGAATTGAATTACTACGACGCCAGGTTATCTACTTAATTATAAAGTTAAGTTAAATATTTTTTAAAAATAAACTTAATAAATAGTTTAGAACAATTTAGCTGAGGAATGCAGTAGAAGAATTGTTTTTTTTAGAAAACATATTTTTAAAAGCGTGGAGCAAATAATATACTGCCGTAATTTAGCTGAAAAGAACATGAGCAATTTTCAAGAGTTCTACTAGCTGCTAGATGGGTCCGATCACAAGTTTTTGTACTGCAATTTCTACTTATCTCTCCAAGAATGTCCATGTATGCATGAGATAAAAATTTAGTTGTCTACAAAGTTCAGAACAGTCTGCTAGAATAGCATGGGCAGATGATCAATCGGAATACAGTTTGATTTAGTTGCAGTTTCGGAAGTTGGTTACTGATCAGAATCTAAGATAGAGAGTCCTACAAGTTCAGTTCTTTGCAAGGAGAGAGAGAGAGAGAGAACATCATAAGCAACATGCATGAAAGCAAAACTAAAGCACCCATTGTTTCTTGATTGGAAAACTTTATGCCGTATTCAAGGCGTTTTAAATTTGATTTTTTTGCATTAGGGAAAAATCGGTCGACACTTTCTTTTTGGAGAAAAAACAAACAATGCATGCCTAGGAGTTTTGGCACTCACTAAAGAATGTGATTGGTTGCTGTTGTACAATTGTACTCCCTCCGTACTCGTAAGAGAAGTTGCTTTGGATAGCGACACGGTCTCCAAAACGCAACTTTGTCTTCTTGTATTTATAAAAATATTTATTGAAAAATGATACATGTATACTTTTATGGAAGTATTTTTCAAGACAAATCTATTCATATAATTTTTACATTTTTAAACTCAACAACTTGAGAGTTATTCATGATTTATATTCTCAATGTTTGACTTAAACATTGTCTTAAACGACTTCCTTTACGAGTATGGAGAGAGTATACTTTTCGGAGGTAATTAATGGCTAATCCATATTTCCAAGAATTTAGAGGACAACTTCCTAAAAAAATGATTTTTCACTGCACAATGGGTGTCTCCATCAACCTTTAATTAATTCCTGTCCTTTTGAGTTACTCCATATTTTAGCAGCCACTAACTCATTATAACATTAATTCCATAGCTTATAACATTAATTCCTGGAGAAACTATATAGCAGTTCTTCCTCCGTTTCACAATGTAAATCATTCTAGCATTTTCCATATTCATATTGATGTTAATGAATCTAGACATATAACATCAATATGAATGTGGAAAATACTAGAATGACTTAAATTATTGTTGTGAAACGGAGGGAGTACTTAACAAGCATATGCAGCATCTTGGGAATTTTCTAGGCCCTACATCTACAGCAATCTAATTACTGCACGCATATGGCTACTAATGACTTATACTGTACCTCCACGAATGCCCATACTGCCATAATGTCTGAAGTGGTTTGTCAGCGTCTCCAGATGAACTCAGCCAAATTGAAAAGTGAAGAAGAGATTTAGAAGAACTCGGAACAACTCAGGAAGAACAGAGATGTGTTTAGGCAATCTTTACTAGGATAATCTCGCTCCAATCCAACAGGATTGAGCCGCCGCCGCCATTCGCCACCAGATTGCCAAAGTCATATTACAATTAGAATTCTCAGTTCTTATACTCTCTCTCGCTTACCAACTCTACTCCTTTCCCCTCTCACAAGACAGATGCCAGCTCATGCCAGCGAGACAGGTTACACGGCCCATTCCGGCTCAACATATCTAATGACTCTGGCCGGCCTCAAGTCCCCTTCTGCTCCTTCCTGTACACCATCCGGCACAGACTTCGTCTTCGGCTTGGCGCCCATACTCGGCCCCTCCTCGCCTGAAGCCTTGACATGGTTTAGTTCATGGGCACTAATAAATGAATTAGTTGAAATTCTTCTCTTCTCTCTTCTAGGATAAGTTGTACATTGATGGCATTAAGAAACTAGGCCACTCATTGAGTTCTCATAGAAAAAAAAAAGACACTTTTATGGCTCAACAATCATGTGTCCATGGCAACAAGGCTAAAATGCCTGAGTACTAATTGGATACATTAAATCAGATAGAAGACCAACATTACAAAATGAATTCACACAAAAGTATTACTCCATGTTTCACACTGTCATTTCTCTAACAGGTTAATTGTGCCTACAAAAAAAAATCAAACTAAACTAATGAGGTCGGTCCTCTGATGTGAGACCACAAATCTGTCATAAATACATGCTGTTCAAACACATGAAGAGCTACCCTGCAAGCTGACAGATTAGACCAAGTAAAGACGATGCCATTTCTAAGCAAGCAGTAGCAGCACCAACTGAGTGACCAGGCCTGATGCCATATTAGATGCATAAACCATGATCATGCAGACATTGCCACCTGCAGGTTTCCAATTAATCATTCTATATGGTAGTAGCACTAATTATTATTGCTGCTGGAGCAGAATGACCAAACATTGCTTTCAGAGCAACTACAAATAATTCTGAAGTTTCTTTTCCAGCTTGATTGGCAGCAAGAGCGATGTTGCTGGGACAATTACTATGTTGAAGATTGCATCATTAGTTCAATGGGAGTGGAAATTTTCTGGTCAACACTTTTGTGTTAAGTTTCATATGGTTTGTAGCTTATGGTAAAAATAGTCAGAACCATGGATTAGAAGCCTAGTTACATGTCCTGCTTCATGTTGAGTCAGAATCGATGTGAAAAGGTCTAAAGTGAAACTAATTGCACCATAGACCATGTAATCTGTTTCTGATATGAAATAAATCTTATGAGTTCTAATAAAAATGTAAAAAGACCAAAAAAAAATGAAGCTAGAAGCTCACCATCAATGTTTAACCAGGCAACTAGTGATTGTGCCAAGAATCAGAGAATGTGCTATACGCTGTTAATTCTCCGATTTCTTTTTTTAAATAATTCTCGGATTTCTTGTAGAGGATTACCAAGGCTGTAATCTGTAAGGTACTAGTATGTCCCAGAAAAAACAAATTACTAGCTAAGAATCTGGACACATAGGATTGGTTTTTTTTTTTTTAAGGGAGGAGGTAGCAGCTAGTGTCCTGTACTGTAGAATTACACAATTGATGACCTGGAGCAGAATCCATGGAGCAATAGTGTGACTATGACCAATAGTGTCAGTTTCTATTAGCTTATGGCAGCTACTCCCTTCGTCCCATAATACAAGAGATTATGTTATTTTTTATACAAGGAAGCAGTGAACTGATGGTACAGAAGTTGATAGGTGATAGAATAAAATAGTAGTCCCTCCGTCCCAAAATAAGTACAGTTTTAGCACTATTCAAGTTCAACGTTTGACCGTTCATTTTATTTGAAAAAAGATTATGATTATTATTTTTTATTGTTATTAGATGATAAAATATGAATAGTACTTTATGTGTGACTAATTTTTTTTAATATTTTTCATAATTTTTTCAAATAAGACGGATAGTCAAAGCGCTAAACATGGATATTTATGGCTGCATTTATTTTGGGACGGAGGTAGTACAAAAGTTGGTAGATAGAAGAATAAACTAGTTATCCCTCCATCTCAAAATATAAGAGAATTTGGAGGGATGTGACACATCCTAGTACTACCTCCGTCAAAATAAGTGCAACCATGAGTTTCCGCGCTTAACTTTGATCGTCCGTCTTATTTGAAATTTTTTTATAATTAGCATTTTTGTTGTTATGAGATGATAAAATATGAATAGTACTTTACTCGTGACTTATGTTTTTAATTTTTTTCAAAAAAATTTCAAATAAGACGAATGGTCAAAGTTGGGCGTGGAAAACCATGGCTGCACTTATTTTGGGACGGAGGGAGTAATTCGTAGTACTAGGATATGCCACATCTTTCTAAAATCAGAATGGAGGGAGTATAAAAGTGGATGGTGGAGAACAAAGTAGTATAAAAGTTGATAAGTAGAGAATAAAATAGTCTCGGGATTCTAAAATCCCTTATATTTTATGATGAATTTGTAGGAGAAAATACCTTATATCATCTTATATTATGGGACTTATATTCTAGGATAAATTTGTATGAGAAAATATCTTATATTATGGGAGGAGGGGAGTACTCTGAATTTTTCAGCTCCAGCTTGACAGCGAGACTGATGCCGGATATGCTGGGCCAATGCATGCGAGGTGTAGCTTTCAACCAGCTTTGCTCGCCGCAGGCCGGCGGCGTGGACGGCGAGGGAGAAGAAAAGATTGCGTCTTAATTAGGTGAGGATGGACAACCATTTGGGGCCATTTACTGTAAGCTTAGTAGCATCATCTGTTTGGTGTCAAACTGTCCAAGTTCAGCATCAGTGTGAAAAAGCGAAGAATGTTACACACCACTGTACACACAGTCACAGTACAGACCCTCCTGGCCATACTAGGTTCTAAGCTAAATTCTTCTTCAGACGTGTTTGCCAGGTCAAATCAGAGCAGTTAACAGTTGTGGTACAACAGGCTAATTAGTAGTAGCTGCTAGCCTACATAACTACAGTAACAACTTCCTAAGTAACCCATAATCGTTGACTCCACACGTAAGATAATCAGCATTAACATCCTGATGGCTACCAGTCGGCAAAGGAAAAAAGAAAGAAAGAAAGGAAACGAAATTGATCATCTCTTCGCTTCTAATCTTCGCTCAGGCGTATCTGCACAGCAAACATCATCAAGAGAAATTGCAAGACTGCAAACCCAAAACATGACACGCATTGCAAAGGTTTCTCTCTGAAAACCGCTAAGATTTTTACTCCTCAAAATATGTTCCATCACGCGAACCGAAGTGAAAACAAACACCAATTTCTACTTGCAAGGCAAACAGAGTTCCAACAATCCAACACCATAAAACCTGATACACTGTTACACGGCAAGGCGCCAACAGAGGGCACATGCTACGATGGCCTAGACTGCCAGAGGTGGCAAGAAGTACAAAAATGTCGCGATCTCATTTTGGCTGGTAGAATCTGCGGGTATGATGATCAGGTTTCTTTGATAGCTTGCTTGCTTCTCCGTTGGTGCACGTCCCAGTTGAACACCCGAGCAATTGTAACCTGAGGAAGATGGAATCATGGTTAGGATGCTCAATCATACAAAATTTATGAGTTGAAGGAATCTTAAGTCAGATAACCAGTCTACCTGAGTGATCGTTTGTTGGTCCCGCAAGAACTGGAGATCAGCAACAAGGACTTCTAAACTGGCCTTGGCGTTTTCCAGATTCTTTTTCAAGAGGGCGTTGGCCTGTAACATATGAAGACATGATGGAAGAAACTAAAGCAAAAGGGAACATGAATTCAGATGCTTGGTATGCCCAAAATAACCTCGTCGCAGGAGTACTCCAGCATTACATTTGCACCCAACCATAGGCACACAGAATCGGTGTCCTCGATTTTCGCACGGGAGTAGATTCCCTCAGATAATTCAAAATCGGCTGTGAGTGCCTGCATCAATTATTTGGAAGCGGTAGTAGTTAGCTTTCAAGAAGATGTTATGCCTGCTAAAAATAGCACTATGACTAGCAATCACTATAATCTCTATAGAGAGAAAATTCCATTTGTAGATAAGGCACAGATTTGTGGTATAGATAAGAAGTTTTGGTTCTCCCTGTGGTCTTAATTGGTATCCCAAATTTTTGTGATAATTTTAGATTTGGGTGAAATCTTTGCGCCACAAATGGAATTTTCTCTTAAAGGAACTATCAGTTATTCAACTCTTCCATTCACCATATACACATTAACTTGAACATTATCAAGCTTGAGTGGCAAGAGAATTTGTTTGCTTGAATCAGAGAAGAGTTCAGGTAATGTTCATGGTATGCGGAGTGAGCAATAAGGCATAAAACCCTTGGAGCAGGCTGATTATCATTTTGGTGCTTCACTTAAAAGAATTCATGAACATTGGCACTTTGGTGTATAATACATACCAAAACTAACACAACAACCTAATTTCTACTCTTTAATGATCATGTAATAAAAAAAATATCAGCCACTCAAATGTTTTACTTCACATAAACCAGCCATTGCTATGAAGTCTAGTTAACAGTAGCACAATAATGACAATTAGTACTTAGCAGTTTCCAATATCTAAAAGAACAGTTGTAGTCATCAATCTACATTTAGGGATAACAGAACAAGGTGATAACCAGCTGCCCTAAAATGACATACATGGCCAAAAATAGTTAACAGAAAAATGTTAAGTAGCATGCAAACCATCAAAGTTGAATTTTGATGAATGATACTAGACTTTAGCTGGTGTCCTGGACAAAAATGGTTAAGTTATGCATACCTACATATTGACTTAAAAACATTTTCTGACAAAAAGAAGCAAAACATCCCAAGCACAACAAAAATAGAAACATAACTGAAACATGACTTTTAAGAGATTGTACAGACCTCACCCAAAGCTTTTTTAGCTTGTAAAGTTGCAACAATATCCAAGCACTTCTCTATATCAGGAATTTTTGCCTGTGGCAACAAAATAAAAGAGTAGTTACACAGGCTAGCATTAACAGTTTAACACCCATAGTAACAACTATATATATACAAGTCAGATCAATGAACTAGAAATCCATTAGTTTGATTTGTATGAGCACCTGAAGATCTCTCTGTTGTGCTAGAAGTTTCATCTCCACTATTTTGTACTGCTGCAGCCTAAAAATGGGGGTAAAAGATGAATTAAATTACCCTCTAAATAAGGCACAACCAAGTAGAAGTGAAAATGTGCACAGAAACAATAACGCTGTGCCAAGACTGCAAGATATTTTTAAACAACCAAATTTTAGGAGTTATTCCCAATTATCCTTTTCTGATTGGTCAATTTGGACCAAACATCTGTTGAAATGGACGTCATCATTTTGACAACAGAACTTCTCTGTGTCTTTACAAAGGCAATATAAAGTGCATGACCAGAATCAGTTCTGCATATGAAGTAGACTGACAGAACACCAAAATATTATGTATAAACCAATGAACTTTTCACAGGTTCTAAGAGTAAACGTAATAATGATTAGGACCGATAGGCCAGGAGAAAATTTGACACATGTTAATTCCCTGATTCCTTCAATCTATAGCTATACATTTTGGAGAGTGTTCTTTTAGTGCTTTGCCGCTCAAAGTGGGAAGTAGTTTTATAATATAATGTTGTTTATTTTTTTTCTGCGGGAAATGTAATGTTGTTTCTAATGTAATTTTCTGTTTCAAGTGCAAGTAAATAAGAAGAATGAAAAAAGAAAGTTGATTGGGATCTAGCAATTCTCAAGTCGTTGATGAATAGAAAACACCCCAAAAAATAAAAAGCTAAATTAACTATCAATTTCACAAGATGAAAGTCTCAGAAGTCAATTCTTTTGTGTAACCTAGTGTACTACTGATTATTAAATGTTTGTATTCCAGAACAAGATTTGCATTTCTCAGTGCCAACAAAAATTACTGAAGGAAGTTTTTCTTTTAGCAAGGAAAATGGCAAATCGTTTGACAATAAAGGATGGAATTAATTGTATTTTAATCCCTTTCCTTTCAAATACTATCTTATTTTCTTTTTATCTATCAGTAATGAAATTTGACAATGTTTAAAGATATCATTATCCTTTAAAAGGTTATAGATGGTCTCTTAGATCCTTGAAGGTACAGTTAAGATTCATGATAGCCGTTACATCAAAACGAACAAATGGTCTCCATACAAGGTGGTGCACCTTAAAAACCTTTATCATTAGAATAACTGACCTAGACCAACAGATGTCTAGGTCTACATCCCCTAAAATTCTACATCTACAATGACACGTTGCATTCCTTATTTGAAGGTAGAAAACATAGGATAACTAAGAAGGAGCTTGGTATCGATTAATTAACAACGGATGTGAGCACGCTTGGGAGTCAAACGCAAGCTGGCGGGGCGGACGACGGCTGCCCCTGCCAACTGCACTAGCACAACTACCTGGAATTAGCATTATTTGAAATATTAGTAACCCCATAATTCTTGAAACGAGACTAAATGGGATTACTGGTCAACGTGAGAGTTGTTCGCATCTGAATCATGGGGGACAATCACATTGATTGACATGCTTGTGTTGAGGGTTCAAGATCCCAAGAAAGGAATAGCCTTTCCCAGATCAAGCATGATGCACAAGCTGTAACCGCAGAACCAGCAATTTTACCGAACAACATGTCTTTAACAGGAAATCCGGCTATCATCCATAATCAACAGAAAAACGCAGGCACCAACAACTAGCGTACCAAAGGGCATGATCAACAAACCATGAGTAATCAAAGAAATCAATGAAATCAATCAGTCATACAGCACAGCAGCTTCCAGACCTCTGGAGCGGCCAAGCCGAGTCGCTAAACAACCAAAACAACAGGTATGCACACTCCAAGGCCATTACCTAAGCAACTCTGCAAACAGGTAGGTAGCACTGACAAGCGCTGCGCGACGGAGCCACTCATGATCCCTTCAACGCCACTCCAAAACCCTGAAATCCTAAAATCCTAATGTGAAATCCTAATAACTCCAAAACCCTGAAATCCTAAAATCCTAATAAAATCGTAATGTGAAATCCAAAACCCTGAAATCCTAAAATCCTAAAAATGAAATCCTAATAAAATCGTAATGTGAAATCCTAATGTTTCACCTACTAGCTAGCGCGACCTCCCATCCCATCAGGTCAGCTGCAATCCTAAATTCCCGAGGAACTCGCGGAGATAGATCACAGCGACACAAACATAGATGATAGATCCAACGCAAGACGACGCCGCCGGTGGATCGAACCTCCCATCAAGCGCCGCACACGGGAGACGCCGTCCCCATCTCGCCGATCCACATGCGCGCGCGCACCACCACCACGCGAGGAAGCGACCCCCCCCCCCCCCCCCGATCCGCCTCACCGAGCACACTGCGCGGCAGGCGGTCGCCTCGACACCCCGAGGAGGAGAAGAGAAGGGAGGGGGAACGCGCGTCGCGAGGCTTAGCTTAGCTGGAGCTATCTCTACCTATACCTTTCCTGGAGGAAGGCGAGGCCGGAGTTGACGTCGAGCCCGGCCTGGCGGAGGTAGGTCTCGACGTCCTCGACGAAGGACGCCGCCGGGATGCCCCGCCGCTCCGTCACCCCCTGCGGCGTCGCCGCCGCCGACGAGGAGGAGGAGGAGGCCGCCGCCGCCGCCATGAGAAATCTCGAGGGAGTTGGAGGAGGAGGAGGAGGAGGAGGAGGGAGGAGAAGGCCCAAATTGGGAGAGGAAGCGCGTGTCCAACCCAGGCCCAAGTAGTGGTGGTCGCGGCGGGCCACCCTCTCACTGACAGGTGGGGTCCACCTCCTCGTCTTTATATATTCCTGGATTGTTACGGGCTCTCTCGGCCCGGTCCAAGTAGGCCCGCCTTGGTTTATTTGTTTGTGTTTGTCTCTATGTGGTTCTCTTCGAGTTGCCATATTCACTAATAAGCTAAAATGGATCATTACAGTTCTTATCGGTTGCTCATATTTCCTAATAAGCTAAAACAGTTTATTAGAAAATAAAAATTAATTTATAGGTAAAACTTTATATATATATATATATGTTCTTCGTGACTTAAAAGGCAATACTTAAAAAAAACTACATTGAAAATATCTTAAAATTAAAATCAAAATTAAGTTTGAGAATTCAAATTTTGGATTTGGTTTTGGCTTATTAGAATAACCAATGGGACTCTCTCTCTCTCTCTCTCAAAGATGGAAGTAAGTTTCACAATTCTATAATATCACAAAAATGTACTTGTAGCCGTTAAAAGAAATGTAGTTATAATAATAAGCTTTAAAAGCCTAAAATTCTATATCCTGTCGTGCAAAAAATATAGTACCTTTTGTAACAGTTTTCGTTAGTAGTGCTTCTGTTGCCATTTGGTATTGTAAAACGATGGTTTTATGACTTGTTTTCGTAAAATTACACTTATTATTACTTCATGTTTTTTTTTATCTTTTGAGGAAATTCTGCACTCTTGCCCATACTTCTGTTGCCAGAAGTGCAATTTTATTATAATTAATTCTTAAAAGAGAAATTTGAGTAGATACCATCCAACTTGACGCCAACTGAGGACACAAATAATGTCATTTTGTGATCTGGAATGTCAACAGAATTTTAGACAATTTTACCATAATAATTATTAACAGCGTAGTTTGCACTCTATAATTTTGCAAACTGTTCCTGAAAAGCATAGAAATAGCTTCCACAACAAGTTCAGTTTTGCAAAAATTATTATAATTCGTTTTGACTTTGGTCAGAGTCAAACTACTCCAAGTTTGACCAAGTTTGTAGAAAAACGTAGTAACATTTTTAACTCAAGACAAATATATTATGAAAATGTATTTAATTATAGATTTAATGAAATTAATAGTTGTAAATATTACTATATTTGTTTACAAACTTAGTTAAACTTGAAGTAGTTTGACTTTGACTAAAGTCAAAACGACTTATATTCTGAAACGGAGGGAGTATTATTATAAATTTGTGCATTGTAAAATGTTTTTTATTCAGTTTAGCGAGAGCATTAGATCCAGTGGGCTCTAAAGTTTCTTTACAATTATTAGACTTTTATATAACAGTTTTTTACATAGACGGGTTTTATAGGGAAAGCTTTTTAGGTGGAGGTGGAGGAGAACGACTTCGTCTTTAAAGAGATACTCTTTTCTCGCTTGAGAGGCCTCCCATTTTACTTCTTTTCCTTCATAATTTTGAACAAAAGCCAACATATCTCAAACAGACCATTTGAACTGCACCTCGCGACCTCATTTCAAACTGGCCGGGGATGCTTGAAATTTGCAAAATTCAATCAATATACCACATAATTGGGAACTCAAGACAATCGACCTTTTTCTCTTGAACAAATTCAAAATTTGGAAAGTTGGAAGCATACACGCCCCCCCCCCCCCTCAAATAACAGTCGAATTTTGGGGAAGCGGCCACCAAGGCGTCACTGCCATGAACGCCGGCTGCGTTCTTCCTTCCAGTGCACTAACCACCGCAACAGAGCTCCGGTGTTCAAGAGGTAAACAACGCCGCCGGTCACCACTGATCCAATCCCCTCCCTGCATGGCTGCACTGTCCAAAAGTTGACGAACTTAATTACTACCTCTGGTTTTTAATATATGACGTCGTCGATTTTTTGATAAATATTTAGCCATTCGTCTTATTTAAAAATTTTGTGTAAATATAAAAAAAAATAAGCCATGCTTGAAGAACACTTGATAATAAATCAAGTCATAATAAAATAAAAGATAATTACATAAATTTTTTGAATAAGACGAATGTTCTAACACATCTAAAAGGTCAACAACGTCATATATTAAAAACGGAGGGAGTACAATCTATTGATTTATTTGCTAGCAAGCAAGTACTAGATTGTATGGGTCAGTATGAGATTCATCCATTCATTATCTGAACATCAACATTTATTGGCAAAAGAAATGGTTAGATTGAATTTGCTCTTGCAGTGTTGTTCAGAATGCATAGAGAATGATACAGTGATTCAGTGAATATACCTGGAGCAAGAGGATCCCATTCATGACATTTCTTCAGGAGGAAATCTGCAAGCCTGCTCTTGATATCTGCAGCCTGTATTCATTGAGGAGTTCCTTGAAAAAGGATCCTTCAGTCTGCATCAGTTTCTGGGGCTCTTCATACTCGACCATTTCCCCTGCAGCGGCCAAAGATTTAACATGGAACATTCATAAGAGAGTTCGGAAAATATTTAACAGAACAACCTTCTAGCATGTTATATTCCCTGCATAAGAGTTCTATCATGTTTGATGGAGGAAAATGGTATCTCTGAATTCTACAGAAAACTGATGGTTTGACATGAATTTGCAGCACATGGATTATCTAAGAGCTGATGGAATTAAATATAGCATGACTTTCGAAGCTTTTTTTCAAAATCATTCATACGGTTCAAACCTAGTCTCATTCTAGTTTGGGTACTATGGGCAAAACTTCTTGTAAACGCCAATGACACTATTTTAGATGCATTCATACCATCATTGACAACAAGTACCCTGGTGCAGTCCATCACTGTTGGAATCCGATGCGCGATTGTGATGATTGTGCTGTCTTTTAATTCTGTCCTGACGGTTTTCTGAATGACAGCATCAGTTGCATTGTCCATTGATGCTGTAGCCTCGTCAAGGATCAAGATGCGGCTTCGTCGCAGGAGGGCACGGCCCAAGCAAAGTAGCTGCCTTTGGCCCATGCTCCAGTTTGATCCTCCTTCCACAACTAAACAAATAAAGGAAATGCATTACAAAAATGAAACTGTTTATACACAGAACTGAGAATGAGGACGTGAGGTGAAACACATACCAAGTGAATCCAACCCTTTCTTCTCATTAATTACTTCATCAAGTTGACATTTTCCTAGAACCTTGCAAATTATAATGTAAAAGAACCTATTTAGCTTTCAACATTGGGAGAAGGGGAAGTGGGGAACGATTACTTAAATTGTGGAAAATCACATTACTTTCTTTCTGTTAAAGTTTCAAGAGTGAACTTTTGAGATTTCAGTGTAAGATTTGCATGGTAATTGAGAGTCCAACACCATTCAAGAAAGTTCTGCATTTTATTATTTATTTTGTCAACAAAGAGATACAATGTTCACGCAGCCAGAACATGCTAGATTTCTCGTATACAAATGTAAATTTAGATAACTGTAGTTAAAATAGCACTCAAGAGGACAACAGATGTCCTGGCCACTGAGAAGCATCCCATCTTGGGTATAGTTTGAAAATTTTAAGCATTATTTCCTACAGAAAATTAGATTATTTTATTGATTAATAAAGTAACTTAATGATGCATGTGGCTTTCTGAGCATGTATTCTTTATGTGTTATTTTTAAAATTTATTATTTATTGTACATCATTAAAAGAACAAAAGGATCAAAATTTAATAACCACATATGGAGTACCTACTTCCCAGATTTGTTTGTCCGAGAAATGCCCATGAGGATCCAAATTGTATCTTATGGAACCATTGAAAAGTATAGGATCTTGAGGAATAAGACCAATTCGAGATCGTAAGTCATGTAAGCCCATTGTTGTAATGTCTTGACCATCAATGGTTATCTTTCCTCCAGAAGGCTCGACAAGCCGGAAAATTGCATTTATCAAAGTTGTCTTTCCACTTCCTGTTCGACCAACTATCCCAATTTTATCCCCGCCTTGAAATGTGCAAGAAATTCCTTTCAGTACTGGAGAAGCATCTTGAGTATATTTAACCTGCTGAAATAAATATTGATCAGGCTTTTGGAGCATGCAGAAGTTTAATTTTCATCTTTCATAATGATTATGAACACTTGATCCATAAAGTAATTACTGATAAAGTTTCATGGATAAGTCATACGGAATTAGTTTTTCCACACTTGCCTCCAAATCTTCAAGTACTATGCTACCAATCGAGGGCCAATCAACCGGAAGTTGATTGTCTTCCACAATATCTGGTGCCTCACTCACAATATCCATGTATTGGCTTATCCTTTCAACAGAAATTATTTGGTTTGCAAGGGAACACTGATTTTGAATGGAGAAAAGGAATAACATGTTTAGTGAAAGACCATAAGAAAGCACCATCCCTGCAACACCTGTAAAAGCAGAGACAAAAATTAACAATTATTAATTTACTTCTCCAATCATGCCTTAGGTAACTCTTAAAAAGAAAGCAACACGAATAGTATTATATGATGAAGAACTACATAAATAAGCTAAATTTTATGATCACATTTGGAGACCGAGTTAACATGTATCTCACCGGGACTTAATGTTCCCTGGGGAAGAAGAGTGATGACGAAAGCAGATGATGAAAGAATAGTAGTAGCCATTATCTCCAAACGTTGAGTCAACCATTCAGTTGCAGCGAAACAATGAAATGATGGGCTTGCATTATTGTCAATAAGCTCCAAAAATCTAGCAAAAAAACGACCTTCTTGCTTAAAGGCTCTTACTGTAACTGCTCCTGAAATTGATTCTGCAAGGTGATTGGCAACAAGAGATTTTGTAGTGCCATTGATCCGCATCAATTCTTTTGAAGAGGCTGAATAGTATCTCTGCAGTACAATGTTTCATCAAAACTATTAATAAGAAAACAATAAAAGATTTCTAAATTCATCCAAGAAAAACAAGTATTGAACAGACTGACCTGCAATCTGACGGCCATAATGATTATGGGTGCAGCAATAAACAAAATTGGCCAGGTAAAGAAACATAAAACACCCAAATTGATATAAGCATTAAGTGTGGCACTAATACTGAAAGATAAAGTAAACGGGACATCAAGATCGATTACATTTAAGTCAGAAGATACCTGCATGAAGGAACATTATTACTTGCCACACACATTAGAATTACCGTGAATTAAATTGGAGTGAGAAAGATATAACTTCATAACTTTTTGAGTACTTACACGGCTAAGTATCCTTCCAATTGGAGTGGAATGAAAGAAAGACATTGGTGCACGAAATAGGGCAGTAAGTAGTTGGGAAAATAAAGACCTTGATGTCTGAAGACCTAGATCAACTGCCAACAGAGCTCTAAATAGTAAGAACATGATTGAACCAATTCCAATGGCCGTATACACCTGAACCAGATTAAATGTGCTTACACCGGGATTTTGAATATTGGCTGCAAGCCATGAGTTCTGTGCTAATTGTCCAGATGTGAATGCAATGTTAGCTATAGCTACAAGAGTAGCATATATGTAGCCCTTATTCTGGCCCAAATACATCAAATAAGGCTTCAGACCAGTGCCACCAATTTCCCTCTCTTCTCTCCTAATTAGTTGATCAAATTCTGCATTCTTGATGGATTCTTTCCCCCCATCAAGAACAACAGCAGTCTCCCTTTTGAAGGGGCTCTTATCTCCATTGTAGTCCACCATGTTATCGTTTGGAAAGTTGACAATATCTTTATGTGCATTCACAAGGTTCTGGAATTCTCTGGAAGATAATAGGAGCTCTTGGTAAGAAGCAGCATGCATAATCTGTCCTTGGGACATTAACTGTGGAAAAAACATCTTACTCTCTATTAACAAAATAACCAGATTATTGAGGAGTGTGGATGGGCGAACAACGAAGCGGACACGAGTATATGTGATTATTGAGGCATCATGAGTCATGACAGTATCAAAATGCAAATTGCTCAACAAAGCATGAATACTTAATACTAGAATATAAGTGGTTATTGAGGCATCATGACGTTATCAAAACGCAAATTGCTCAAGAAAGCATGAATACTTACTAGAACAGAATCAAATGCATGCAAGAACTCCACTTGATGTGTTACTAGCAGAACCGTCTTTTCCGACAAAGCTCCCATCACATATTCCTACAGTGAAAGTGAGCTTTAAGAGAACCCAAAATGCATGCAACATAACCGAGAAGCCCGCCAACTTACATTAAAAAGACTTGTAGCTGTATGTGCATCGACAGAGCTGAAAGGGTCATCTAAAAGATAAATATCCGCATCGTGATACAATGCACGAGCTAATTGAATGCGTTGCTTCTGCCCTCCACTAAGATTTGCTCCTCTTTCCCCGATTTGAGTAAGGTCACCAAAGGGCAAAATTTCAAGGTCATGCACCAGTGAACAAAACTTAAGAGTCTCTTCATATCTTGGCTTGTCCATGGTAGAACCAAAAAGTATATTGTCCTTCACAGATCCTGTTTGGATCCATGCATTCTGAGAAACATATGCTATTTTACCAGAAACTTGAATCTGCAATTATGCTCAACAAATTAAATTAGTGTTTAAAAACAAAAGCAATATAATAGCCCACACTTATGGGCATACCAGTAACCAACAAACTAGCACATCATTACTCAAAAAACCGAAATCAAACAAAGTGATTTAGTTTGATGGAACAAAAACTAGCCCTTCATTACTACAAGTTTAGTTCATATTGCAACGAAATAGAGTAAATCATAACTGTATAACCATGTTATAAGAATGTTGTAAACATACATAAGTTGATGGTAGAAAAGGAGGTTAACAACAGTATGTGATAAATTTGACAGGAACAAACTGTGAAATAGGGAACATAAAAAATATACCACTCCATCTGTCCTTGGGACTTCTCCCAGAATAGCTGCCAAAAGAGACGATTTTCCAGAACCAACCTCACCACAGATTGCTACCTTTGTCCCTGATTTCACCATCAAATTAATATTCCTCAGATTATAATTTTCAGAGCTATCCCATGAGAAACAGCCAGATTTGATTGCTATAGGATACTGGCTATGTGCAGAATACTCCATCGAAACTTGATCCTTTTGTAGCTCAGATGCACCAAGAAATTCGTTTAACCGATTGAAGGCAGCCCTTGCTTGGATTACAGACCCGATGACATTTGGAATATGATTGATAGGATCCTGCACGAGACGCAGTGCAGCTACAAAGGTGAACACGTTGCTGGGATCAAGTGGGACTCCTAGAAAGTAGCATGCTAGAAATGTTGCAGCTGAAACAAGTGCAGGTGATGCCCAGAAAAGAACACTAGTATACGCTTTTCCCAGCTGGAATGCTGACAACCACTTTAGCTCCAACTCCCTCAATTGTTCTATAACACCCTTGAAATGGTTCTCCCATGCATAAAGCTTCAAGACCTTCATGTTTGTGAGTGACTCGGACATAGTTTTCAACCTCATATCTTGAGCTTCCATGAGTTTACTTTGGATGTTTTGCAATTGCTTGGCTAGAGGGGCATTCAACATCACAGTCAGCACTATAACAAAAACAGATGCTACTGTTGCAGGACCGACAGCATTATACAGTACCATCAAGGCAATACAAAGCTGGAGTCCTGTAGTCCATGTACGATGGAACCAGAAAGGGAATTCCCCAATCCTGTAGGTGTCCACCATGAGATAGTTCATTATCTCCCCAGAAGAATGCTCTGTGCTGGCAGAGCATGACAATTTCTGTTGCTTTCGATAAATCGCAGCTGACAAGAGTGATCTCACTTGAACACCCACTCTTCGCGTGCGAAAATACCACTGTCTCTGGGCTAGTGATTCTAGGCATTTGGAGAAAAGAAGTCCAAGAACTATGACAAAGCCTTCATGCTTGAAAGCTTCTTTTCCTGAAGACACATTGATGAACTCCTTCAGGAATAATGGACCAGCAGACAGAGTAAGCACCTTGAGCAATGCAAAGAACCCAGAAACAAGAATCTCCCTCTTGTAGCACGAAACAATTATCCAGAAAAGAGATGATTTACTGGCATCGATTTTGTTCATGAACATTGAGTATTGTGTGCCTGCTTCATCCTCAATACCCAAAGCAGGTATGTCTGTCTCTTCAAGAGGCTTCTCATAACCCTTCTTAATCAAGGGATTCATCCACCAAAACAACATCTTGCTGAAAAATCCAGCCGTTGAAAATGGAGAAACTGATCTCTTAGAATCGAAATCATGGTGATTGGCTTCATTGTTTAGCAGGCTGTGCAATCCGGTTGCTTTGTAGGCTGTGTCAGCTCTTTAATTAGAAAAAAGAAGCTAAATAAAAAAAATGTTTTATGTATAATCGAATAGTACTTGCCAATAAACCTCATCTCCAAACTTAGCACACAAATTCAGGTTCAGAAGAAACAATAAATTGTGTAATTCAAGACAGTTTAAAGCACACTCTTCCGGAAATCGGAATCGGTGAATCGACTCAAGACTTTTGGATTCAATGAATTGTGCGATTCAGACTTCCCAGACTTTTGGACTTGCGTAATTCAGGACAGTTGAAAAATGAATTAATCATTTTTAGACTTTGGTTAGAGAAGAGAGGCGGTGAGAGGAGAATTCACATTCACCTCGCGTCGTGCCGGCCACGTGGCAGCGCTGCGGCTGCAGGCCGGCCGGTGCCGCAGGTGGGGAGGGAGCCAGCGAACGCGGCGACGCATGTCGGACGGGACGGCGTCGTGCGGCGGCGGCGGAGGCGGAGGCGAGCAGAAGCGGCGGGGGGCGCCGCCGCGCGATCCCGGGGTGGCGGCCGGGAACGCCGTCGACGTCGCGACGCGGCGGGAACGAACGATCAAGGAATGGCGCCGCGGCGGCTGCGGCTGCTCCTCCCAACACGGCGGCGCTCATCTCGCACCGCCACCGCTGGCTCGCCGGAGCTAGCTCTAGCTCCGGGCGTGAAGCGAATTCGACGGGGGAAGGCGGCAACGGCAAAGACGGCGGCGCCGCCGAGTGCGCGAGTGTGTCGCTACAAAAGAGCTCCTCCTCTGACGCCGCCCTAGGATCGGACCTAGCCTCACTGACATGTGGGCCACTAGTCAAAAGTGCAACGTCTTTTTTTTTAGCAATTTAGGTAGAAATAGGAAATTTTGTAGAAATACGATAAGTCGCATTTATGGCTAATTATTCTCTCAGTGGTAGAAGACGTATCCGTCGAGGCGTCAACAGCGAGACGCCTATAGTGACTTCGTTAATCTCAAGATATGCCGGTCTAGACTTCCAGAGATGCTCATAAGGGTAGGTCGTGCGTGCGTGTTTATAGATGTGAGTGCGCGCGCGTTGTGAGCGCATGCGTTTCTAAAATAGAAATGTAGGAAAAAATAGTTTTAAAAAATGTAGGGAAAATATCAAAGAGATGTCGTCGTTTGGAAAGAGATGGGCTCCTTTGGAACGAAGGTTTTTAAAAACACACAAATAAGAAAAACACATGATTGATATATGACGTGCTACGGAAACCTATTGGAATTAAAAACACATGAATTTGAAAAATGATCTATTTGGATGGCTCACAGGAGAAAACGTAGGAATTTTGATGGAATCTACAGAGAAAGAAGAGAGACATATACAAGATGCATTAAACTTTCTCAAACAAAAATTAAAATGAAGTTTGATCTCATATGTAGATTTCTTATGGAATTGAGGTATAGGATTGCAATCCAAAGGAATCTGTTTACCTCCAATCCTATCTTCCAAACAAGCAAATTAGAAAAAAATTCTAAGGATTTGAATCCTTCAAATTTTCTATAGAAGTCCTTCAATCCAAAGGAACGTAAGTGGATGCTTGAATTCGTACGGAATTGTTGGCAAAAGGAACCATTCGTTTACTTTTCCTATACTCAATTCCTCTTTCCATTTTCCAAACAGATGAATAGTAGATCTTCCTATAGGATTTCAAATCCTATGTTTTTCCTCCAAAAATCCTTCAAACTAAAGGAGACCTAAACTTTTTTGTATGTGTCAAATTTCAACAAAAGAGCAAAAGTTGTAAGAGGCAAAAACCATATTTCTCCTGACAGAAGCACATACATCAATTAACCAATACAAGTCACTAACATTATATGGATCAGTAATTGAAGTAGCTACATCCATGATATATGTAGATTGTAGAAACACAAAACCCGTCAGTGCCTCAGTGGTAAGCAATCACCAGTAAGTACTCTTATCCATGATCCATGTGGTGATACAAAACATTGAGTGAGCAAAGTAACTAGTAAGTGCTCACATCTTTTGATCTATTTATCGTTACAAAACATCGCAGTAACCACTAAACAGTAAACAGTAAGCGACCTTTGCCATAGGCTCATATAGGCAAAGAAGCATAAAAATCCTGAACAATTTCTATACAGAAAAATACTCATATATAATTTTCTATGATCTATGTACCTGAGACCTACAGAACTGAAATCTTTGCAGCAAAAACCTCAGACATCTCTCTTCATCTTAGCCCTTGTTTAGTTCCAAATTTTTTCTTCAAACCTTTAACTTTTCCATTACATCGAAACTTTCCTACACACACAAACTTCCAACTTTTCCGTCACATCGTTCCAATTTTAGTGTGAACTAAATCACCAAAAAGTAGAAATGACAAAAACAACCGCCAACCCTCCGCCGCATCCCCTCCAAACTCCAACCCCATCCCTTAGAAACTTGATAATTTAACACTTTTTTCGTTGCCCAATTCTCCATCAGAGGGGCAATGTGCAACTTTTGCGCGCATTGTACGTAATATTGTATACCTTATGGCGTTGAGGAGGTCAGGGTTCTCGCAGCGGGGGTCTACCTCAGTTATCATGACCGCCACTGTCTTCCTCCACCCAAGGCACCAGCCTCCTCGCCGCCACTGGTTGCGTCACGGTCACCATCGGCGATGGAGTGGAGGGGGTGAGGAATGAGGAAAGAGACAGACGTCGCTTGCCCACCTCCGAAACCTAGAGGATTTTTTTTTGTTTTTACATTTTTTAATTAATATTTATAAAAAAAAATAATTTTCCGTTTTGAAAATTTACAAATCTGGACACGCCTCATGCCCTTTAGGAGACGATCTTTAAAATCTAGATTCATATTTTGTAAAAATTTTGATAAAAAATGAAAAAAAAATCAACCCGGAGCGTGCTGTTTTAATTTCACATGGTCCAGGCCCATCTAATTGGGCTGGGCCTTAGGCCCATGTGGGAATCGCACAAATATTATAGCACGTGAACCATTTTTTTTCTTTTTGGGATAATAATGTTTTTGTTTTTTTATCCTTGTATTTTTTTTTTTTTTGAAATTTCACCTGAACAAAGTACCAGTAAAATGAAACACCATCAGCTTTCAATTACTCTCACTTTGCAGATACTTGATTTTACAAACTCTAACCACTAGCATTTCATCTTTTGCCTGCTACTCCCTCTATTCTGAAACATAAACATTTCTACTTTTCAAACTTGGTACATAAATATAAGTATTTCTAGGACACCACTTACAAATGCACGGGGAATCCAATCAATTTCAGTTAATCAAACGACTAGAGAAATTCAAGCGATTTAAAAATCAAAATTTGACCAATCAGGCGATGGGGGAGGGGGCAGAATACAAGTAGGACATTTAAGAAATGTTTCCCTTAACTTCAATCTTTATGAATAAATTCGTGTTAAAACTTAAAAACAGATGTCAAATCTAATAATGCTACTGGGTATTTCTTAGATGACATTTAAATTATTTGCAGCCAAAGTTTGAATAATGTGAAATTGAAGGCACAATTCCATATTTCTTCCATCCATGGTCGAAGTAGCAAGAATGATTGGGTTCTGATGGGATTCTAAACAACATGGTTACAGTAACAGAGAAGGAATCAGAGCAGAACAAAAGAACAGGTTGAACCTTACAATGTTGATGGTGCAACTTTCATGCATAATCAGGATCAGCAACTCGAATACAATTTGGTTGTCGATCGTCAGAACAATCTACACAAGATCATTGTCGCCTTCGCGTTACAGAGTCGAGCTTGGTCGACATTCGACTAGGCATAAATTGGAGTTGTCATGGAAGAATTCACCAAAAGTGCCAGCCTCAGCTCCAGTACTCTCTACCTTGGTCAGAATTCCGAAGCTGCAGGTGGAACTTCAGGCCAAGAGGATTCAGGAGGCAGCTCCCTCGTCTTGCTCAATCTTCAGCAATGGCTGTATCAATCAGCATCATCAGCAGTAACCACGCGGGAGGTGCGAATCCTGATCAGGCTAGCGTGTCGCTGCACCGCCTGCAAAATTGTGTCAATTGATCGTTCGCCTCATAAGGGATCTCCATTCATTCCTCAATGCTGCTATTTTTTGCAGCAGCGGATGCATTTCGCTGCATCTGAGTCTGGACATTGTACTGCCTTTGCAGCTCTCGAAGTCTCTCCAGAAGTTGTTGGAACGATGGACGGAGTTGTGAGTCACTGTTCACAGCAAGGATATGTTTGTCATCAGAAAATGTAACAGGCAAGAGAATACAACTTCATTCAATGAAGATAAGGGTTTGAGAAGTTCAAGTCCATCAAAAGACATAATAAAGAAAAAAGGTAACTTTTCATGAACCGTAAAAAGCAAAGGGAAAAAAGAGTGCATACGTTTCCCAACAACTCAGGATAAGTGATGTCCACTGAGGATCTGTTTCACTAGGAATCTCCAACCTGTGGTTCATGAAACCAACTGCACCAATGACCTACATAAGAAACAGTCTCACAAATTAATACGACCCTAGTCAAAACTTTGACAACAAGTATGATATAAGAAAGAATTAGCCCAATAAGAGTTACAACGCGCAAACATGCTGGGCTACTCAGTAAAATATCACTATCTTGGGAAATTTCTGGTCTCTACAAAATCACAAATACAAAAAGACAATAACTGTTTCTTGTAAGCCCAAAGTTCAAATTTCTGGGTGAACAATCATACCAGCATTACATTCAAAGAGTTTGATTCAACATCCATATGCACCATCTCCTAGGCCCTAGCTCATGTTGTAGTACCAAAATGAAAGGAAAAGCAATGTAGCCGACAAAAATGGTTAATTCTATTGCTTACTTCTACGATAACTGTCATCCAAATATTTTTTTACATTACATGAAGCTGCTAAAATAAATATTGCTCTTAACAATCTAGTGGTCATAACTATAACCAAACATATGGTCAAAATAAGTTTTAAAGACAAAAGAATATACCTGCATCGAATTAAGATTTTCCCAGGGTATCTTCTGAGTAACAAGCTCCCACAGGATGACCCCATAACTATAAACATCAGACCTATATAGCAATGGAAAGCATTAGTAATCATTTTCTACAGACATGACTAGGATTTTTTATTGATTAGGACTGTCCCAACTTACTTCTCGTCAGAAGGCTCATTGCGCAACACCTCTGGAGCCATCCATTGTGGCTGGATATCAAGTCAACATCAATAGAGTTAATCAGGGCAAACTGCAAGGGAAAGCTCTTCTGCTAATCACATTATGCATGCTGGTACTTACTGTTCCTTTTCCAGTTTTTGTTGTCAGGAATGTTTCACGCTTGAGACGTGAAAGACCAAAATCTGCAACCTGATTAAGTCGGATAAAATGTGAGGCGGCAAGCAAAAAAAGCAAAAAGGCCTGGAATGCAAATTAACTTCACTGTACCTTGACAGTCCAGTTCTTATCAACCAAAAGATTGGATGATTTTAAATCCCGATGAATAATAAGTGGGCTGAAATGGTGAAGATAGTTCATCCCCCTTGCCTGTAGAAGTATTTTTTTAAAAAAAATAAAAAAAAAAACTAACTAACAACTGCTAAAGAATTATACATATGGCAAACAAATGTAAGATAATAAAAAAATATTAATTATACAGAGATTAACAAGTTCATCACTCAAATATGAAGCAAAACTGAGCTGGCCCAAAACTACTTGCTGAGACACGTGGCTTTTTTTTACATGCGATGTTGCAATTCAACTTTCAAGTTCATGCAGCACAATCACCTTTTGATTCTTTCGGTCAATAAAAAAACTTTTAGATTCTAACTTTACTCAATATCTATTATTAGACACTGCGATCAGAGAATGTTGCACTGGTTGCCCTATCATTTACTGCAACTTTTACTAAACCTTGGATCTGTTGCTGACTTGATATATGACAAAAATCCATATATAACTTATGTTCACAAATTAAATTAAATGAACTTACAATATCTAAAGCCATGTGAACACGTCGTCTCCAATCCAACTTGGTATTGTTCCTTTGAAGTAAGCGAAACAAACTTCCACTGCATTCGAGAAACAATGTGATGAAAATGAGACCTAGATGAAATATTGTGTAAGTACAAGAAAAGGATCAGCTATTCAAAATATGAATAGAACCAATCCAAGTAAAACTTTTAGCGAAGTCTTGATTTATTATTATGGTAGGCAATACATCTATCTGTAGCTGGAAAAATCATTTCTAAAGAGTGAACCTAAGATTTTGTTCCCAGGCCAAACACTGCACGGTGCATAATAATAGAGTGGCCCGCTTCAATTTCTTTAGTCCATCACTGTCATCATAATATGCTTATCAAGGGGAAAGGGATAATGATTCCTATGTTATCCTTAATTATTTTTTTGTGTGTCTGGTTGGGGTGGGGGGGGGGGGAGGGCCTTAAACATTAATTCCTTGATAACTTATTACAAAATCAACGATATAACCAAATTTAAACAAGCAGCTCTGCTCAATTGCAGGTAGCCTTGCAAGAGAGCAATACTACATACACATAGTAATCAATTAGATAATTCAAAAATCTAAGCTGTCTTTAAAAGGTAGGGGATATACCGTGGGAGGAACTCTGTTACGATACAGAGGCGTTGTGGAGATGTAACCGCACCCATGAAGAGAAGTATATTAGGATGGCGTAGTTTCTTCATAAGGGATACCTTCACAGGATTAACAATATACATTCAAAAAGTAGAATATTTAAACTGAAAGTACTTCATATTCATGTTTGAGAATCATCAAATATATTCAAACTTTTTCAGTATGTTATTTTTATATTTACTTAGATCAATATACTTGGCAACCATGGCAATGATAGGTTTTATGGGCATCCTGAAAACCTGAATTGGCTTTACATTTCAAGTTTCTTTTAAGCCTCTCAAACTAAAAAGAAAGCATCACAATTATACTGCTAATCAGGTTTAACAACAGAAAGAAAGTCAACTGGAAAGAGAGACAAGGTTTATTTTCAGATGTTGTAGCTGGAGATGGAAATCTACCTCTTGTCGGAAGGTCTGTATCACTTCTTCTGAATATTCTTGCTTAGAGAAAACTTTAACAGCCACATCCTGCAAAACATGCCACAGAAAATGAAGAAATTAATAGCAAAAGTAAATATATAACACTTATTCATGAAACATTGGAACAATCGAACATACCGAGCCATACCACAAAGCATGATATACTGTTCCACACGAGCCTGCAGAGATCAAAATTGAGAGGGACACAATTTAAAAGGGCATTCAGCATAATACACTACAAACAGGTGTGTATTTTAATCGTTCATATGATTTTAGTCATGCTTGCACTCCTTTGAGATTTTTGAATTTCATCTAAGCCTTAGCAACTGAATAGACGATGGCTTCACTAGAAAAGCTTCAGCTCCAGAGTTTCTAGGCTAGACATGGAGAGATCCTGGAAGAGTAGCTTAACCTACAAAGCTTATTTGAAGCTTTACAAGCGTCCAAACACAAATGTTTGGAAAAGTTCAAGAGCAACCTACTTGGTGGATGCAAGTTTACCTAATGTTTGAAGTCCTAGGGATTGGTCAGCTAGAAAATGACTGCAAATTTTAAAACATACTAAAACTGATACTATCCAAAGAGCCCAAAGCTCTAGGCTCTCATTAGGAGTTAAAGCAACTATATGGTTTGGTTCTACTCAGGTTAGAGCTAAGGACTTAGAAACAGAATTCAGCAAAACAGTAGATAAATTTGATATTACACGGTAAGGGTATATGCATATATGGTGAGCATAACTGTAGCTAATACTATTTCCATAATATTGTAGGTTTTACTAATTTCTAATGAGTTAGAACTATAAATAGTAACGGTGAACATCACATCTCGAAGGCCAAGAAATGCTAATAACGTTATTTAGAATATCAGAAGGTCGAGCGATAAATTATAGAGTTGTCTTGATAAAAAGAGGTTATGCAACAGATATAGATTTAGAAAATGAAGAGGGGAGCATAGTAGGTATCCTAAACTAACTCTATGCAGAAAAGGCAAGTTTGGACAAATACTATGGAAATAATGAAACTGTGCATAAAAAATTTAAAAACTCCCATACAATACTTGTATGCACAAAGGTTTTAAGGAAGCATTCAAAAAAGGAGAATGGACTACCTTGACCAATTTGTTCTCCAATGACAAGGTCTTCCCACAGGATTTCATAATCCAAACAATCTGCTTCATGATCTACTTTGTAAAGAGCACTACTATTAGTACTACCCGTGCTGCTTGCACTGCTTGTGCTGTTATTGTTGAAAGAGGACCAGGAACCTGATGCCTCATTTTTGTTAGGTTGGTTATATTCAGCACCTTGACCATCTTGAGTTATGGCAGAATCAGAAATTTTCTGATGATTCTGGCTGCCATCTTGCTCCCCATGCAACCACGGCCAGGTTGCTTGGTTCTTCACATCAGGTCCATCGTTATCCCGCCCCTTCCAAGGCCATGATATCCCTTTCTTGTTCAGCAGTGCCTCTGCCTTTGAACTCAAGATCCTGTGGAACCCTACTTTTCCTTCTGATTCATCACTGTTCATTTTGGCAGTTTTCCCAGGGGAACTCTCTTCTGTAGCAAAGGCTCCGCGTGGTGCGTCCCCTCTTGGCGTAGTTGTTCCACTAGACGTTGGCTCCTCCTTGGCATCACGATCAGAACAATGACTCTCACCGCTACCACCTTCCCGCTCAATGCCATTTTCATCTGCCCTGACTCTAGAACGAACTTTATTTGTGACCTTCGTAGCCTGTGTTGTTATTCTAAAAATCAAAAAGGAATATGCTAGGAACAAATAAACATAGACAATATTTTATTGCAGTTCGTATTTATATCTGCTGTTTGCTAGAAATAAGAACTCACCAAATTTGTTATCTTGGAGGCTATAGTAGACTGCAAAGGTTGCTGAGAGTCAAATGGGCTTCTGCTCAACAAACTGGCTTTGCGATTGCTGTTGCTGCAACTAGCTTCACAGTAGGTCCTAGAAGATTCTGGATGGGGCCTTGCACAGATTGAAGGGCCACTGATTATCTCCTCCATTGTGCGCAAATCACTTGAAACGCAAACAATGCCCACCAAACTGCCATCCTCATCATAAAAAGGAGTGTTGGTGGCAACAGCTGAAAATCTATCTCCAGCTCTGTTCTTAACTGGAAACTTTCCGGTCCAACTCTCACCCAGAGATATGCGTCGGAAGATGTCATTTACCACATTGATATCACAGGAATCAATCAGCAGCATGAGGCCATCCTGACCAAGTGCTTCTGATGCTGGATAACCATACAGTTTCTCTGCAGATCGATTCCTGCGTCATAGTAAATGCAAGGTTTAATGAGGAAGGAGAAGAGAAGATCTGTGCACAATTGCAGACTGCAAGAAAATACCAAAGCTTATGATAACAAAGTTGAGGAGTAGGTATGTGCTTATCGAACTATGTTTCTTTTCTAACGTACTCCTAAATGGTTCTATCCACAAGCAATATGCGTCAGACAATATTATATCAATTACATCTACATATAAGCAGTGTTAGCTTACCAAGTTAAGCTCAAATCTTGACTACTGATCTTGATCCACTAACTTACGACATGCCTTATCGCTTTGCTATGTACTACCGAAGTTAATGTCTTCTTCAATCTGGTAAAAGTTCCCTTTCAAAGAATGCAAAAACTCATTACTAAAAGCAACTAAAATCTAGACATCCACTACAAAATTTATTTGATTCAACACAGTCAAAAAAAAACTATAGCCTTACACGCGTAAGGTTTCGTTACTTCAAGTACGTGCGTGTACTGCTGCTCAAACTTGTTAAATCCATCCATGGTGAAAATGAGACCACAACCAAAATGCATCAAGAGTCTCTTCTAGGGGTTAGTACTGTTTCAAAGTTGGAAAGAGATAAAATAGCCTAAATCTCAAGCTGATACATTCCGATATACGGGTCACTTCATCTAAAGCACACGACAACACTAGATCATCCTACATCATCAAACACGGCATTTCCTCAAACATTTAGCATATGCTATGAAAAAAAAAGAACAAGAAGAAGAAAATCTCACCAGTACATGATCTTCCCTTCGAGGTCAAGAATGTGTACGGACTGCCCCAGCGACTGCAACACCCTGGTGTACTGCTTCTCCGTCAACCCGCCGCCCGCGGCCGCGGCGGCGCGGCCCTCGCGCTGCAGCGGCGACGAGTGCGGGAACGACGCGGAGCCGCGCGCCCAGGCGCGCGCCCCGCCCTCGAACCCCCCGGAGAGCCGCCTCGCCGGCAGCGGCGGCTGGTGCGGCGGCGGCGGCGCCGCGCCGCGCCGCGGCGAGACCGACTGCGACCGCCTCCGCTCCGCGGCGGCGGCGGCGCCGCCGAGCTTGGACATCTCCTGCTTGAGCTGCGCTTGCCCCACCTCCAGCTCCCGGATCTTCTTCAGGAGCTCCTCGCCGCTCGCCTCCATCTCCGACGCCGACGACGACGCCGCCACGGCCACGAAATCGGCGCCCAAAATCTCAACCAAATCGAGCTCGCCGCGGCATCACCACCACCACGCGGCCGCGACCTCTCGGAGCTCCAAAGGGCGGCTGCTCCTTCGCGCGGTTCCCGAGGCAGATTCGAGCTCAAGAACTCGACCGAATCCTCCTCCTCCTCCTCCTCCTGAGATCCCCAGTTGCAATATCCAGTGATTTCTCGAGCCAAAAAACAGCAATAAATCGATCTTTTTGCTCTCCACAAGCAGTTCTTGGCTTCTTCTACTGCTGCTACTGCTACAAGTACATCAAAGTTGGGTGGAATTGTGGAAATGGAATCTCTCTCTCTCTCTCTCTCTCACAAACACCCAAAAGAGAAGAATTTTGCTTGTGAAAATAAAAAGAAAAAGAAAGAGAAAAAAAAACACAATGGAGAATAAAATAGTATACAGGGATAGGAGACAGAGAGAGAGAGAGGAATTAATAATGAGGCATGGGGAAATGAGATGACTTGGTGAGTTGTTCTTGAGGCTTCTCTCTTCTACTCCTCTTGTGATTGGTGAGCTTAGCAATAAAAAATAAAATAAAATAAAAGGGGGCTCTGCTATTGTCTCCCAATTTTTGGATCTGAATTTATTTACTTTGTTTGTTTATTTTGTGCTGTTATTTTAATTAAATTTGTTTGTTCACTGTCTTCGGTCCTGTTTAGATTCTAACTTTTTTTTCTTCAAACTTTTAATTTTTCCATCACATCGAACTTTTCTACGCATAAACTTTCATTTATTCTATCACATCATTCTAATTTATTTAAATTTTTAATTTTGTTGTGGAACTAAACGCAGCCTTTCTCTTTTTGTTGTGATGATCCACACAGGGCCTGTCTCTGTCCCTATCCATCTACCTTGCTGCCAATGCCAACCTGTGTCGTCATCTCCAAGAGAAAAAAAAAAGAAAGGGAGGAAATTGGTTAGCTTACTCTGCTAATGACAACCTTAATCCTACTACTACTACTACCTGCTTTGCTTACCTGGTGTTGCCACAATTTTGGCTTTGGGTTGGGGTTTGTCCTGTCACTGCTTGTTTGGTGTTCAGAGCTGTGATGTTGCCTTTTCTTTTATGTGTGTGTGTGTATCTTTTCTTGTTGGGATTAATTTTGCTTGGTTGATGTTTTTTAGGGTAACCTTTGTGGATGGCTTTTGATTAGCACTTTTAACCTCTCCTGGGACCACAGGTTTGCCGACCACAATGCAGTTCATTTTTTTTTTCCTTCTCTTGTTATGTTCTTATAGCCCCATCGATTGGTCTAATAAGTTAAAACAAAAGCTAAAATTTAAATTTTTGAACTTAATTTTAAAGTTTATTTTAAGATATTTTCATCTTAATTTTGTTTAGCCTTGACTTTTAAGCCACTACTAACAAATATATAAAACTTTTACCTATGAATTAATTTTTATTTCCCAATAAATTAGTTTGGCTTATTAGGGAATATAGGTAGCCGACGAGGCTCTTACTTTTTTTTTCCTGCCTCTGTGGTCTAGCAATATCAACACCAAATATATCCAAGATATAGTATCGTAGAGCTTGGTTTTTAATTTATTACACTCTTATTAAAAAAAGCTGCAAGATATATTGGCAACAAAAAAGAAGGGTGTTCTCAGAAATTAAAAGAAAAAGGAATAAGAAAGGTGGAGATAAGTACTCTATTTATTACTCAACCTCTTTTAAGGGACAAAAGACTGTAGCTACCTGCACAAGCGGATACGCCCTCCTTTGGGGAAAAAAAGCAGCTATGAATCTGAGCATGGAATCAATTTTTCTCTTGAGGGTTAGAAAACGCAGGGGTGTATGTACCTACATATATACGGTGTGTGCACATGTTTTTCTGCTAAAAATAATATATTAAATATTGACTTTTTTTTCTAACAAAATGATCCCTCTAGCTTGAAACATGGGCACTTAGGGCATGTAAAATAGATGGTTGTAAGCTAGCTATAAGCACATGTGAAGAAAAAGGAGAGAAGAAAAACATGCTATATATTTGTTGCCAGCTGCAGCATGATGTATGTATGAGAGATGATGTATGTACGAGAGGTGGGCCAAATATTAATGATATAATATATATTTATATGAAACTATTAAATTAGCCATAGATGTGTTATTTTGTAGAGCTAACAGTTGATTATACTATTAAACTTGCTCACTTCACTTTAGGGTGAGGATAGGCTTAATGCAAGTAAAATAGCAGATGTAAGCTAACTATAAACACATGCGAAGGAAAAAATGTAGGGAAGAGAAGAGAAGCAGTCTGTAGCAAGCTGCATTGGGAAGAGAAGAGAAGAGAAGAGAAGAGGAGCTATTCGTAGCAAGCTACATTACAAGCTACATTACGAGTTCCAAGATATTATATGTATATGAAAGATGAATCAAATATTAATGGTGTAGTGGTATATATTTATAAGAAACTCTATTGTTTAGGTAGCCTTGGTTACAGATGATGTGTTAAGTTTTAGAGCTAACTTAGCTTGTCAGTGACACACAAGACGATGCAGATAATTATAGTTTCACTAATCGAGTATTAACTATTATAAATTATAAAAAATAATTTATTTATTTATTTAGTAAACTTTATTATAGAAAGTTTTCGAGAAAAACATATCAGGTGTGTTTGGTTTGCTACCATGCCAAAATATTGGTATTACTAAAACCTAGGCAAGTTTTGGTAGTGCCAAAATTTTGGTAATTTTTTGTGTGTTATTGGTAGCAAACCAAATACTATCAAAATACTATTCTCAATGCCAAACAATTTGGCAGGGCATATTTTGACTTCAAACCAAAATGGCCCATTGTTTACGGTGAAGGAAAAGTTAGCTGCCCTCATATCAGAACGGGGTCTTACTTTTTCTTTGTAGTGTTCTCTACAGCGTGTTTGATTTTTTTAAGCTAAACTCTATTTTTTTGTGTAGAAAAAAATCCACTCATGCTGACTGACCGTTGAATTTCATGCATTTGTTTGTCTTGATTATTCTAGTATATACTTCTTGGGTTACCATTTTTCATGTGCTTAAAAGCAATAAGAACAGTCCTAAATTTAGGTCGAGTTTGATTCAGCAACTTGATCGAGCAACTTCATCATTTAAACGGTATATTTTATAAAAAAACTCATATAAATAAGTTTCTTAAAAAAACAAACAAATTTATTTCTCAAGTTTAAAATAGTATACTTAATTACTTAAGTCAGTTTGTTGGAGTAATTTTTTTCAGCTGTCAAGTCTCATGGTCTGGTTTCTCTATATTGCCCTTCTCTCGCTGGATAACAAGCAGCCATTGACTTTGCATCCTTATGAAGCAATCCTATACCTTGCTTGCATGTATAGCTTTTTATAACAAAACTCATGTACTTAAAGTGCAAATCTAGCTGACTATGACAATTATCAATTCAATTAATTAATCAGGCTGTCAGCTGATTAATTCTCCTAGGTAAAAAAATCCAAACAAACCATCCCAAAAACTATAGGATAAAAACCAATGCTGAAAATAGACAATAAACCCAGCCCTCCTTAACACATGATATATTAGCCGAATTTTGAGGAAACTGAACTCATTCCAATTTGAACTAATTCCCTTAATTAATACTATAAAATTACTGCATCCAAGGAGCCGTAAACCTTAGAAATAAGTAAAAGTCATTATTTTCTGGCAGGATTGTCACACTCACTCAACCTAATGACTAAACTAGATTCTAGGCCATTGATTATTTCCCTCTTTTGACCACCCCCGTGCAAGATGTCACTTCGATCATTGCATAACTAATTTTTCAGTTACAATTTGGAGTTTTTGACCAATTTGATTGGTTGACAAGTCTCATGCAAAAAATACTCTTTCCAGTTCTATAATTTTTAATGTTTTGAACAAGGTTGAGGTCAAACAATTAAAATTTTGAGCTATTAATTTAAAATATTTAGTTTGAAGGCGTTAAAACACGATGTAAACACTATTCTTGAAAAATACTCCAATAAACTTAATTTTTTTATATATTATAATAGAAAATCATAGTCAAAGATATATTTTAGAGACTGTGTTGTTGTCTAAAACATCAAGAATCATAGAAGAGTCTCGGCTGAGGGAGTATCCCAATCCCCAGCACTAATTATGAGCAAAATGGACCATGAAACATTGGCCACAGCCTGCAAATCTGAATCCAGCAGAGAACACATTGCACTGTTCTTCACCACTCCTTTTCTCCAGCCATCACAGCAACCACTTGAGCTGCTGCCACACACAAGAAAAAAGGCTAATACAGCCACAGGCTGTTCATGGATGGAAGAAAGATATGATCTTTTCCTTTGCATCTTGAAGAGAAAGCTGGCATCTTGGAAAGCAGCAGCAAAGCCATGTCATCACGAGCCAAAGAAAGCTAATGGTGGTGGCTGGAGCTGGAGGTGTGTGGATCCATTCCATTGGCAGTGTAGCTTTCATCAAACAAACCAAAAGGGAGAACACACACAACACAAAGGCCTTAACTGCATCTTCATCATAGACTACTGCTGTCAATGGCAACAGATCAGACTCTCAGGAACAGTGATATGCAGTTAAGCACAGTGCCTGCTGATTATGTACAAGGCAATTACATGGGACAAAAGTTGAATTAATTAGTGGTAGAGAAAGGTTTGATCATTATATCTTAAAAAGAAAAAGTTGAGGCTTGGTGTTCAGCTCTCTAACCTCAAGAAAAGGCCTAGGCAAACAACTACTGTCAGGGGGTATCAGTATCACTTGTTCGGATTCTTTTGGAGTGCTCTTGAGCTTTTGCAGGTGACCACGGACTGGGTTGTGAGGCAGCTTTATATCATCACTAGGAGAATTTTTGCACAGTGCCAGTCTTCTGTTCCAAGACTATTTCCTGTCTAAACATATGTAAACTCAGTTCAGTTTCAGGTTACATGCAAACATATGTAAACTCAAACCTGATTTCAAAAGATTCAATGGAAGTTGTGCAGAGAACTTAAAACTTCAGGTTGGCCTATCTGAGTCCCGATTTCGGTGTAAAATTGAACTTGCCCTCTCTAACAGAACACTGGACTGGATCTGTACAAATGAAAGAAAAACAAGCAGTTATGTAAGACTCCACTGCCTACTAATGTAAGTAAGAACCTCTCCAAAAGCAGCTTTAAAAGTCTATGATGTCAAGTAAACTGACTTCTCCAAAAGCTTCCATGACAGCAAGACATTCTTCTGTAAATGGTACCAAGTTCTTTGGATGATCTTTGCTCACGGTATCAGTCCCTATTTTACTCACTGACTTATTCCTTCTGCAAAAAGATAAGAATACATACTACCCATGCAATATGTAATACAAGATGATTAATAACTTTGTATATTCAAATATTCGATGCGGAGAAGACAATTTGTTAGTGCCAAAATCAATTCTGTCTACAGTATTTTGTTCTTCTGATAAAACAGGTCGCCTTTCCTCAGTCAAAGAACGATGTGATTCTGTTTTGCAATAAACTGTATCTATTTTTTCAATT